CCTTCCCGTCGTTCTACTCCTACTCCTTCCCGTCGTTCTACTCCTACTCCTTCCCGTCGTTCTACTCCTTCCGGTCGTTGTACTCCTACTCCTTCTGTGTATATTGTACTCCTCCCAGTCGATCTACTTCTACTCATTCCGGTCGTTCTACTCCTTTCGGTCGTTGTACTCCTACTCCTTCCGGTCGTTCTAATCCTACTCCTTCCGATCGTTCTACCTCTCCCGGTCGTGCTACACCTTCCGGTCGTGCTACACCTTCCGGTCGTGCTACACCTTCCGAATCTGATGATGAGGTTGACGACGATTATGCCAATCTCCCTCCCGAACACATATGGGCTTATCCATGTAAGCTGCCTTCGTGTCCCGCCCACGGCGAAATCTGGCTGTTTCGAAGCAACTTCCTCCTTCATCTGCAGGAGCACGACGCACACAAGACACAGGCACCGACGCCGGCCGCACGCCGTATAATCGAGATAGAGTGGCGGTATACGGCCCATCCCACTATGTTGTATCGGGTGTACCGAGATCTTGATTCTGAAATTGTGTGGGATTACGGGTTCAGAGATGATACTGGGAAGGCGATCGACGGCAGAGGCACGACGGAGCAACTAGAGATGCATAGGGCATCACGACGTCGAGAGATACAGTCGGGGCAGAAAGCATAGTTGCAGTTTGCTCGAGCGTTACTGTAAAGCAGTTTCTCCATAGACAACAACCTAGTCTGAGAAGCTCTGAGTTGATGCTCTGTCCTGATAATCCAATCAAGATCCGCGCGCTTCGATGCTCTCTCCTCTTCCTTGGCGTGTCCTGCTTCATCTCCCGGAGTAACCTCCTCTGGAGGTGTTTCTGATCGTTCCTGCTTCTTAGCATGATTACCCAAAGGCTCCGTGCGCAGTGCTCGTCGTAATTTGCTCTCCGATATGCCAACGTCCTCATCTTCATCTCCCATTTCCCCTCGTGCAAGTCTCTCGCAAGTGAAATCGCTGAGACGGAGACATATGCCTGGATGATCCACAGCATTTCCTTCGTCGTCGCGGAAAGCCTAGTTGAACATCAAAACATTGGAAAAAGGAGTCAGGGTCACAAGACTTGAACCTACCTCATCCAAGACCACACCCACAGCTTGCAATTCAGGTCCGCTCAGGCTCATCGAATATTTCGGGCCGCCATATCGACAACGTTGCTTTGCACGACTCCGTGCTGTAGGAAATATCCAAACCAACAACCACTCGTAGTATCTAAAGTTCACAGACCGTATCTTGTCTTGCACGTAACCCGAAAGTACATTGTCCTGCTGGAGCGTCTTCTCTATGAGGCCGTACTCTCCTTCTACAAGCCTAAACTCTATCTACGTGTCCCTTGTGTTGTTGTTTTTCCTTTCTGAATGTCTCTGAAGCGTGCACTAACGCGGAGCGCTCCCGCGATTGCCTTCTTGTCCGTCTTTGGTGGCGTCAAAGGCTGGTCGGCTATACTTTGGGGAGGCGTGACGCGCGGATACTGCGTTAGATCCGCTTGCGATGTCGACATGGCCGTGTGCTGTGCTACATTGTGATGCTGGCCATTGTTCATTTCGTTGCTCTTGCGCAGAGCGTCGAAGAGCTCAGTGTTTAGGTTGACTCAGCAATAACGCCACGAATCCAGAGAGTCTATGATACTGCTGTGGCTAATTACATCGCTCTACCAAAGCAGCTGGGCGCATTCTCAACGAGGAGCATTCGTGTAAATGAAGTCTCAACGCTATATTCTACCATCGCATACTCGTACGATGACCAAGCTCCCATAGCAAGCTTTCTCCTATTTCCAAAGGGAACACCCGTTCACGCTAGCGTGGGTATATCGCCCGCAGGGACCATAGAAAGCAGTTTAGTGGATGTACCTAACTATTATGTATTGATCATATCCATATCCATCTATGACATAACCATCCACCTCTAGTTACTCGTAGATTCTAGACAACAACACCTTGAACTTTCTAATTTCCTCGCCACAATTGGCCGTACATTAATTAGAGAAGCCCACTAGATTTTATCGAAAACCATAATCTATTGGCAAAGTCAAACTAATAACAATGAGGTAGCAACACAAGATCGAAAGAGTCCTCAAGTTTCGTAACTAGATTCCGCAACCATGCCCCCGCCACAACCACTCCTCCGCGTCCCATACACAAAACCATTCCCTCCGCCGACCATAATACCCACGAGCGCGACCACGGCCTCGGGCGCAATCGCAGCACTCGTAGACTTCCTCTCCGCACCTGCGAGCACGCGGATACGGCGCGACCACTTCCACCATCATCATCATGACCACTCGCTCCAGCACCACCGACACGCCTCCGCAACCACGAACACCAGCACCAACAACATCCCACAACCCTTCGACACGCGAAACCGCACCCTGATCCTCACTGGCGCAGGGATATCCGTGTCCTCGGGGCTGGCCGACTACCGCGGCACCAACGGCACCTACACGCTGAACAGGACGTACAAGCCCATCTACTTCAACGAGTTCTGCGCCAGCCACGAGGCGCGCAAGCGGTACTGGGCGAGGAGCTTCCTGGGTTGGACGAACTTGAACCGCGCGCGGCCCAACGTCTCGCACGCTGCCGTCGGGAGGCTGGGCGAGCTGGGCGTCGTGGGCAGCTGTATCACGCAGAGTATGTACCTTCGCTCCGAATTCTTGATCTCGAATCCCCCCTCCCATGTTATGTCCCTCCACACAATGCCCCACCCCCATGTGACAGACAAAAGTCAAAAGAGAAAACATTGCTTGCTTGCTTCGATTTGACCTGACCATACCTGAACTGACATTTCGACCTGATTATCATCAGACGTAGATTCCTTCCACCCTCTCGCGCACCCGTCCCTCCAGACGCTCGAACTGCACGGCTACCTCCGCGCCCTCGTCTGCCTGTCCTGCGGGTCGTCCTACCCGCGCTCCGACTTCCAGTCCGACCTCGCCCGCCTGAACCCCGCGTGGTCGACGTTCCTGGAGGAGATGCTGGCCAGCGGCGCGCTGGACACGGAGAACCCGGACGAGAGGCGGAGGAAGGGGATGAGGACGAATCCCGACGGCGACGTCGACGTCCCCGGCGCGCCGTACGGGACGTTTAGGTATCCGGCTTGTCCTGTGTGCTTGGCCGCCGCGACTGCTGGGAGGAGGGCAGTTGTCAAGGTGGATGATGACGGGGCCTGGGCGACCGGGTCGACGGGCGGGATCCTCAAACCTGCTGTCGTCATGTTTGGCGAGTCCATCGCTGCCGGTGTCAAGTTGGCGGCCGAGCAAGCAGTCGACACGGCGAGTCGAATGCTGGTCGTGGGGAGCTCGCTCGCGACGTACTCGGCTTGGAGACTGGTGAAGAGGGCGAAGGAGCAGGGTCTGCCCATCGCGATACTCAATATCGGTGGTGTCAGAGGGGAGGACACATTCTTTGCTGATGTGCCAGAAACGAATACTGGTAGGGACGCAGTCAGGGCTGGCGAGAACGCCGATAAGGTGTTGCCGCAGGTCGTGAAGATCATGGAGGATATGCAAAAATAGCGGCCAGTGTCAATAGATCCATAGACTGACCTGGTGTGCATGTATAATCTTAATCATCGCTTTATGCAAATGAGCAAGCAGCATCTTGAGACAGTAGAGATCAAACCACAAACTATTCTGGAGACCGGATAAATATATATCATATGCATTGTTTTGGAAGTAAGCGGAGTTTTGTATGTAATGATGTTGGAGATACATTCATGATGTCGATTCGTTTCGCGCAAAGCACGCACGTTGTCCTATTTCCCTCATCCCGCACTTTTGAGAAAACTTCTGCAACGACTTTTCTGCATGGCGAGCATCCCTCCTCCCCTCGCTCTGTAGAAAGGCTTCGGCTACACGCCGATACAAAATAGTACAGTATTGAATGCGCCGCCTTGCGCAACGTTTTCTGGAGAACGTGGTAGAAAAAAAAAGGAAAAGAAAGAAGAGATGCCACACCTAAATCGACTGAGGTACCCTCCAAAGAATGCATCCTACCCATGGTACTATGCTAGGGCGCGTTCTACTCTCTGTTCCGGTAGAATCACGTCTACTACTAAAGACTAAAACGATGTTGAAGCGTAAGGATATCGAATAACGTCGACCGAGCCCCCTGTGATGCTCCGGTGGAATAAAATGCAACAAGATCAAGACTGAGCGAAAGAGATTTTTGGCGAGCGACTGCCGGAAGAAAACACCCGCAGGCATTTGAACCGGGTGCTCTAACCCCGGAATAAAGAGAAATTACATCGTTTGGAGGATTCATACCGTCCATTAGGTCGTGCGTCGATAGGAGATCGATCCATGTCCTGGAAAATTTGTTATGAGAAAGAAACCATGGGCAAGGAATGATGATAGTGATAGAAATTGGCGGCGGTTTGAGTATGCAACGCACGTCCAATGAAGGAGAAAGGTAGTCGCCTTACGGCGTGAGAAATCGTTCGTGGGAGGTGGATGTAGATGCTGTAATATGTTCAATCGTCGCTGTTGACCGAACGACCCGGATCGCTGGTTGGGGGGGTGCGTAGTTGTGAAGAACTTCCGAAAGATGAAAGTTGTTTCTCGTGATCGCTACTGTTCCGCGGCTTGCGCTTGAAAAAGCTTTTCAGCTTGTCAGTGCGGCTGTTGCGTCCTGAGCCGGGAGACGTCGGCGAGGGTGCGCCTGATGCTGAACTACAGCTGACCGGCTCTGGTGTCGTCTCCTTCTGCTGACCGCGAGCGTCAGCGTCGCCATTTCTCACTTCTCGTGTTCGTCGACGGGAGCTCATTTGTCGCCACCACTCACTTTTCCGGCCGGCGTCGCGTGAAACGTCTGATCTTGACATGTTGCTGTCGCCGCTTAATTTAGTAGCGTCCCAAGGCTGACCCTTCGAACCGTCGAGGTTCCCGTTCATCGGGTGTGAAAGGTCGACTTCTGAGTGACTTTGTGAAGATGGGTGGTGTGGCATGGGGAACAGTTCGGACGCTAGGTTGAGGTCAGGACTGATGGCAGAAGGCTGCGAAACACGGTGGGCCGTAGGATCGAGCGAAGAATACGTTGGGATCGGTTTCTTACCCTGGCTGCGGGGAGCCGTTGACGGGGCCGTTAAAGGTCTTGGGCTTTCCCTGGACGCCTCGCTTGGGATCATGTTTGGAAACTTGTTGGGCGAGGAATTGGTGAGCGTATCCTTACGCCGTGAAGGAGACGCTGAACGGCCGGGAGGACTTGGACTTGCATCCTTCGTTAAGCGATCTGAAGAGTTGTGAGTCTGTGTCACCAGTATCGCTGTCAAGCTAGCATCACCACTACCTCTTCTAGACTGACTCTGATTCTCTTGCAAAGAAGGTGAAAGTGCTCCAGGCATCCCTACAGTAGATGACCGCCTTGAGCCTTTGTTCTCAACAGCCAGTGAAGACCTTCGAGAGGTTGATAATGCGCCATGGAAAGAGCCACCGGAACCTCGACGACCAAGGTCTTCAGCGCCGGTAATCATGGTAGGGCCTGGAATCGATCGAGCGGGCGGAGACAACACAGTAACTGGCAAATCCGGGAGTGGCTTGAGGGGCGGTCCTGAATGTGGACTTGGTGTTGGATCGGTAGAGAAAGTGGACGGGAATAGGCCCAGTGCAAGTCTGGGATTCTTCTTTTTCCGTCTGTCTTTCTCTGCGTCCATCTTCATTTCCCAGGTAGCCTTATTGAGAGAGATCTCGTCGACAGCGTAATGCATAGCGGGTAGGATGTCAGCGACGGCCTCGAAGAGTGGTCCGGCGAAAATGTTCATGAATCCTATCTGGGATTCGCCGAGCTTGATCAGATCGTCTCGCACCGGTGGTCCTCCGAAAAGGCAGGAGGCGATCTGTAATTCGGCTTCCATCACGCCCTGGTTGCTGAATTCGTCTGTAAGGATGTTGGCCCATCGGGCAGCGACATCAAACTTGCGTGCCTACCATCGTCAATACACATGGTACTCTGGAGAACGCGGGATAACTTACGACATTGCTAATATCAGCACACTTGATGAGAAGCCCACAAACTAGATCTTTCTGTTCTTCTCTAATCTTCGCACTCCAACTGTCAGTAATGCCTTTGTCGTGGCCGAGCTTCTCCTGCAAGTTGCCCAGATCGCTCATATATTTGAAATGCAAACCCATGTCGGTGGCAAGAATGTTATTGATCATGAGCTTCCGCATCGAAGAATCGGCAAATGCCTGTGGCCAGTATCGGCGTAGTATCTGCGAATATGCAGCACAATGGAAGGATTCGAGAACGGAACGATCGTTGTAAAGTTGGGCAAGTGGCGCGTTGAGCGCAACAAGGAAGGCGTTGTTAACGCCAGGATGGCCCACGTCATGTCCGATTGCAGATATAAGAAGAGTCAAAGCGTCGAAAGGTTTGAGCAGTTGCGCGATCGGGGAATCCGGAATGCCATGGGACTGCGCACTGGTGGAAGGGTAAGGTGGCAATGTGCCGATTTGGACGAGAAAGTGGAAGAGCGCTTGGAGAACGTCGGTTACGTGGCGGAAATTGTGATAGAGAACGAAGTCATTGTAGGCCGTGCGGCTGGCAATGAGAAAAACGATCAGATCAACTGGAAGAGCAGACGTTAGTAGACATTTCAAAGCGGGTCGCGAGCCACCATCTTACCGTCTGGAATAGCCCATTGCTCCAATTCAGGCATGGAAAGAGCGTGCTTCAGCATCAACAGACACCCGTACAACAGTTCATCATCGGTGAAGTCATGCGCGGAAAAGCTCCACGATCCGATGGCTTCTGCCACCCTCTCTTTACTTTCTTGCACAACATAGAGGTCGGAAGCGTCGAGACAGTCGCCGGCCGACTCGGGATTGCAGATGCCATTCATAAGACTGGACACCATGGCCTCGCGAAGATAGGCATATGGTTTCGTGTCGCTGACACCGACCCACGACAGCTTCCGGTTCTTTTTGGTCGTCATAAAGTTCGCCTCCTCGCGAGAGACCTCCTTGTGGACGCGATACGCATGTACTGCCAGGCCATGGACCTTATCCTTGGTCAACGGACTGGCGAGAACGTCGACGGCGCCGGCATCGAGGTAGCGCACGAGGCGCACGGTGTCGGTGAGAACTTGGGAGCCGTGTAGGCTAGGTGAGGGAAGCGCATTTGATTGCCATTCGCGATCCAGTCCGCTTAATATTACGATGGGTATAACGAGTTTCGGTAGGTTCTGCGATTGTATCTCGGACGAAATGTGGGTGAGGAGGTGCATGCCATATATGTCGTCCAATTCTACCGTGTCGGGCCTCGGGATCCGTGTCGACGTGGGCGATGGGCTGCGCGGCTCGCGGGATAGACGTTTGAGGCGCCGCTCCTCATCGTAAGGTATATCGATCAATGCAAGGGTTGGGATACTGTCATTCGTTTCGCAAAGTTGGCTCAACTTTTCCAGACAGGCGCGGCCGGATCCAACGATGTGCACTGTGTAGAGTCAATGGTTAGTTGGTTCAGGGAGACGCGCAAGGAGTGGCGCTTGAGCATACCTTCATTGAATGTGGACAAGATGGATTCCACGTTAGCATTGACTTCGAAAGGATAGGATTTCCCGATGGTGAAGTAGCTGGGTGTGACGCTTCCCGTGCTTGTCCTCGCAGCTACTGAATGGGAGAGGGACTCTCTCCGTACATGCTCGTCATTCGCACGACGGTCAATGTAGATGACATTGCACGCGCCATGTTCCATCCTCTCCACGCTTGCTACGGCGACCAGAAAGCTCTGGTCTCCGGCGTTTTGTGGAGCCTCCCGCGAGATCGGGAGGGTGCGTAGAGTTGTCGCAAAGCGGGCGAGTGTGCAGTCAGGTATCAATCGACGGTAGCAAGCGGCGAGAAGGGTCGAGGAAGGCGCGACGAGGTGAAGTTGAACTTGGCCAACGGCGGTCGGCGCGGATGGGAGATTGGAACGGGAGCACGCCCGTTGATCTGAGATCTGAGGTGAAACGACGACGTAGAGCTCGTCCCCGAGATCCCTAGTGGATGCTTAGTGTCACTCAGCGAGACGAAGGCAGTCGAAGAAGATGAGGAGAGAAGCAGAGAGGGACAGCGATGCAGTCGTTGGAGATTTAGACCGTAGAGGGCGGGCGGGGTGTTTGAGCTACGAGATGTGGTAGTGGTGGTAGTAGTGGAAGTGGTAGTGGTAGTGGAAGTGGTAGCGGCGGCGACCCGGTGCGATCGCGCAAAAGGGAAGGTAGAGTGCAAAGGTCGAGCCGTCGGAGATCAACGGCGAGAGAGTGCTAGTCAGATGGCGAGCTTGAGGGGCGCGCCGTTACAGAGATTGAATGGATTTCCTAATGGAAAGTCGGGAGGTGTCGTGAAGCTTGCGTGATGGGGATGATGGATCGGACTCGAGGAGAAGAGTCGGCAGAGGGTGTACGGAGTACAGAAGAGAGGGTACAGGAAGTGGGATGCGGTCACGAAGGGGGAGGCTGCAGAAGAGCTATTGCGAACGACGCAGGGGTAGATGGGATGGGATGGTGGTAGGGTCAGTGTCAGTGTCAGTGTCGCAGGCAAAGCGCACACAGAGAATGCTGCGCGACGAGCAGCATTGAGGCGCGGAGGAAGGGGTAAGAGGTTGCGCAGCGCGGCGTGTTAAGTACAATGGATGGGTGGTAGTCCGTGTACGATGGGAGATATTGGCGATGTTTTTGTTGGTGTTTTTGGTGTTGTCGTTTGTCGTCTATTTGTTATGGTTGCTTTTTGTGGTGGTGGTGGTGGTGGTGGCGTTTGTGTGGAGAAAGAGAGTAATGAAGGATAGTGGCATGAGGGATGGAGACGGAGAAGGAAGAGAAGAGAAGAGAAGAGGAAGAGGAAGAGTGAGAGGAAGAGGAGGTCGGAGCGGAGCGGCGGCGGAATAGGAAAGTATGAGATACGAACGATGAGGGAAGGAACGAAGTATGTAGTTATGTACCTACCACTGACTACTACCCAGAGACCCCGTAAGGTAGGCAATAATTAGGGAAGGAACGAGGCAGAGTGAAGGAGGTGGATGAGGTGAGTGAGGTGAGTGAGGCGAGTGAGGAACTGATGAAACAGAAAGAGAGTCTAGAGTTATGAAATGAAGTTGATAGTACGAAGTGGTTGACTTTATCTCAAATGCCTCCTTCAGTTTCTCTCTCCATACTCCATGTACATGTGTAGGCAAATAGTTAATAGGTACCAAAGGTACCGAGATGAGCCTAGAGGTAGGATGTTGTTACACAGCAAGAACAAGCAAGACGGATAGCAAACAGACAAACTGCACGGAGGAGTAGTCGATGCTCCACTGTGTGTAGCTAATTGCTGCACTTCTCCTCCTCGACCTCTCCACCTAATCACGCATACACGCAGACACGCATACACACATAGGTACACAGTAGACACACATCCCCTCCCCCTGTCAAGGTTCATTGCAAGGGCTTGCGTTCAAAGGCTTGTTCAAGGGCTGGGTTAAGGCTGGTCAAGGCTGGTCAAGGCTGTTGAAAGGGCTGGGTAAGACAGTGGTAAGACGAGGGGAATCATTGGGTGTGAACTGGGACTCTTCAGACTCTCCAGACCTTCCAGAAGGCGAATGGATGCGCTAGACATGCCACAAGTCCACCACATCCACCACATCCACCCTACGTCCGCCGACATCTGATCCATGACATGCCCAACCCCCCCCCCCCTTCAACTTTTTTCCCCGTGCGACCCTGCTGTACGTTCTATTCCCTTTGTGTACAAGGAACCGCACATCTCAGGCAGGCAAGACTTGTCTCTTTTTTCCCTTTCCCTTTCCCTTTCCCTTTCCCTTTCCATTGAATCCATCCATCCATTGAATCCATTCCATGCAGTCTTCCATGATCCACATCATCGTTCGTTCGTTCGTTCGAATGGATCCACCACCCCACCATCAACACCTTTCGACTCAACAACACCACCACCACCACCACCACCACCATTCCTTTGACAGTACTCCCGTATAGACGAACAACAACTCAACACTACCTTGTTACACCGAATCATCAAATCTCGATCATTTGGGAATTCTGACCGTCTGTCTGTTTGTCTGTTGCAGTTGCAGGTCTGGTCTTGTCCTAGTCCACTCGGCGTTTGTCTTCCCCATCCCCATCTTACCCTGGACGGATTGCCTAGACCGATGCAGGACCATTCTTTGCTTGCAGGGGTTAAACCCCTTTTAGCCCTAGTCGACCCTTTTTGTCTTTGTCACTTCTGACTGGGTGGGTGGACCGTGTCACTAGTCTCCTCTCTACACTGTATGGGTATGGGTATGGGTATGGTTATGGGTATGGTATGGGTATGTACTCACTCACTCACTCACTCACTCACTCACTCACTCACTCTTGTCCTACTCAGTACGAGACGAAACTGCGAGGCATAGTAGCACGACTTATCAACAGCAAACAACTATCAACCCTTTGAGTAATTCTTTGTCGCCTCATCCAGAACACATTCTCTACGACTTACTCCATACGCAACAAGTCACCACTCCACTCCGTAGTCAATCTGCTGAAAGAATTCAACCTCAACCTCAACCTCAACCTCATCCTCATCCTCATCTCATCCTCCCCCTTGGCCCGCCCGCACTTCCCCACTTGTCCTCAACCTCTCCCAGTAGTCTACACCCAATTTCAGGTCCAGTTCCAGTTCCCTCCCCACTGCTCACTGTCCCTCTCGACTTTATCCTGTCGCTGCTGCTGCTGCTGCATGTTACCTGTACCTACTGCAGCGCTTGGTCCGTAGTCGGGCGGCGGCGCCTGCTGAGTGAACATCGTCCCAGCGTGCGGCGTCCCAGCATACCGAACCTCAAAATGCGCATGGGTCGTCCTCCATACTGAAACCAGCTTCTGTTTGCACCCGCTTCTCTATCTGCACCTTTCCAACCGACCTGACCTTCTACTGTGTAGATACACCGCAACTCCTCCCGTACGGCGTACAGAACCACTGATACTCGTAGATGATACTCGTACAAGAACTAATCATGATGTGAGCGGAAGACGGTCGCGTTCTTCCGCATTCCCAGCCTGGAAAAGCCATTGTCGCGAATGCGATCAAAGCAGTTTAGACATTTGCCCTTCCCCCCTGTTCCCCTGCACGCCCTGTCCCCAACGTGCACAGTCGGGCCTTAATTCGTGATTCCCGTCACAATCTTGGGGCCCTGGACGAGTAGGATCATCACACAGAAGCTGATAATACACAATAATAATAATGATGATGATGATGATGATGATGATGATGAGAACAATAATACACCGTACACAACTCCAACTCGGCCCATGGTTCATTGCATCCCAGGATCCTACGCCGTCCTTCTCCGTCTCTACCTCTCTTTCGGTTCCGTAGTGTTTCTGGTCTGTCTCCAGGACCACAGTTACCACATTGGCACATATCACCAACAACCACCCCGTACGGTGTAACTGATAATACTCGTACATGGTGAACATGTCAGGAATGCAAAGTCGCTCGCTCTCCCCCATCGTCTATCGTATGTCTCCCAGCGTCGTGACTTCGTCATTGGCGCGCGCAGCATTAGTAGCATTAGCGAGCGAAACCTTCTAGAAGGGAATGCGATGTGAGTCCGACTTTGAAGAACCTCTCCACTCGCTCCTCTTCCAAGGTCCATCTGACTGGTCCCTCGCGGTGATCATCACTGTTCAAAGCCCGTCGCTTTCCCCCGTTTTGCCCGTTGTAGATGCTCGGCGTGCACCCCTTGCTCGGTCTCATGTCCGCTTCCGGTCTTGCTGTTCAATAATGATAATGCATCCATGATCAACGAGCCCCCTGATGCGCCAATCTCCAGGTCCACTCAGAGTTCCCCCGAGCGCTCGCAGTGCTCATTGCAGCATCTGCTACACTCAGGACACACAGTCACGACGTGCGGCATCATGCTGTCCACCGACGCGGAAGTGCAACGGCTGCCTTGTGTTATGCATTCATGCGCATATCCCAGGTACGGAGTACGGAGTAATACAACAGACAAACAGACACACTGCTCACCCGCACGCCGCACACCGCAACATAGCAATCGACAGCTGCATCGGCGCTTCTCGGACATCGACGAGAATCAATCTTGATTCTTGAGTGTGAAATCGCTAGAATGGAATCAGACACGTCGGTGCTTCAGGAAATTGAACAATAATAATCATCACCATCATATCATTATCTTTGAGCTTCCTCCTCGTTAAATCTCCGGCGCTATTCATAGTCCCCGCCCGACGACAACCAATCCTGTCCCTTCTCCTACTGTATGTGTGCATGTGTGTGTATGTGTGTGTGTGTGTGTGCACTTCCCCAATAATGACATGCCCGCTCTCCTCTCCTTGTCTCTATGTGTAGCCCATAAGCCAATCACGCTGCGCCAGACAGAACACATAAGCAAGAAATCGACACCCCCGCCCAACTGCATCCCCGCTTTTCACCATGTTGGTAAACCTCCTCCCACTTCCCCTCCCACCTATGTACTCTCTCTACTCTCTCTACTCTCTCCTACTTTCCGCTTCAAGCAATGACCGACACCCCATCTACGGAACCTCTGGAGACGAAAGGAAATGCTTTCAAGGTTCTCAGGAGTCACACGGGCCGCTACAGCATACTAGGGATTTGTAGTCAACCCCTGCTGTAGCAATCTACCCCGTCCAATCCGCCCCCAGACACCGTTGCCATCATTGCAACAACCCATACTCCCATACATCATTGCGTCTCCTGATCGTCAGTTGTTCACACAAGAGAACTCTCGATTGTTACGCGATAACGCACCCTGGAGATGCGAGCAGTCGATCTCTTCCGCTGGTCAGCTGGCCAGCTGGCCCAACCTCCCTCGTACAATACTCCTCGTAGCAACACTTGAAATCAACTGCACGGCAACACTCCAATTGTCGATTGATCTTCGGCTCTCGTTCCGTAATCTGCATGAGAATATCCCGAGGTCAGATCAGTATTCCCCACACCTCCCGGATTTACCCAGCGAACAAGATCCTGCTCGATCCGCTTCGGGCAAATCCATTCGTTGCACAGTCTACGTCTCGAATTGAATCTGCCCAGACGGGTCGCAGCACGACTTTGTTCCATATTGCGCAATCCACTCTCCTGGGAAATGCAATATTGATCCCGGCTCGGAGGGCCCAATCGGTCCATGCAATTGGCCTACGTCCTGTGCTTGCTGGCCCTCAATGCATGTTATGGCAGTTATGCAACTTACGCTACGTCTTTTTTTCCTTTGAGCTCCCTATCAAGGATGCCAACTTTCGATCACACGACCGTGTCTCTCCTTACCGTTGATTCCTATCATACGAGTACGGACAGGCCATGGTTGTCAACATCGGACTAGCAGTAAGAGCGTTTGCCACGGTTCAATTATCGCTTCGTTTCTATTTACAGGCTTTTGTCTAGATCCCTTTGCGGTGTGCCATGGGACAAACGCAAGTGAGGTACTATGATACAGAAGAGGATTCGACGCTATGCCATTACGTTCTATAGGTGCATATTTGTGTTCACTCGTAGTGATGATGGTTGTTACCACCAACCACAGCAAACTCCCCCTCAGGGTGCAATCCATCGGGGATCTCAAGTCGAGACGTGTATGCAGATTTGGAGCCCTTCCAAGTCTTGGCGATGGCAGGCTGGACTCTCCTGCCTGCGTGCTGCAAGTCAACGTTAGGAGCAGGATACGGGAAAGAGTTGTTCTTGTTGTTGAGTGGGCCAGCATAGCTGACATTCCTGTGCATGGTCAGTGACAGACTTGGCAAATGCATCGTTGCTCCACAACTTACCAGTACATGTCGTTCAATGGGATGCTGCCAGACCACTGCCTTGGGTGATCGCCGGTCTTCTCGGCCACAAGCTTCCAGACGTTGGCACCAACATCCCAACGGCCGAGCGTGTTAAGGTCCCAGTTGGCTTGGACACTGGCAATCTCACTGTAGTGGTTGTAATAGGTATCGTCAGTGGTGCCCACCAAGTGACGCGGAACAGCGTCGCCAAGCAGAATGCCGACGATGCGGTTCTGTTTGGTGTAGGTGTGGTTCTCGTCGAATGTCACTAAAACCAGCGTATTCTTCATGAAGTTCTTGTTGTTGAGAAGAGGTTCAAGGAAATTTCGAGTCCAGGTTCCAGCTACGGTGACAGTGGAGTCATGGCCTGAGGCATGGGACGTAAGTAAGTGCAATTCGATTCTCGCTGTTGGACACCTTCAAAACTTACCGTCGGAGGTCATGTTGGGAGTGATGAACATCCATTGTGGAAGTTTGTCCGCCTTCAGATCCTCCTGGAACAAGGTCAAGTTCTTGATCTTGGAAAGACGGTCCTGCTTGTCGGCCACAGAGTCGTACAGCACGGCTGGGTTGTGCTTCCTGACGTAGTCATTCGCACCGGTCTGTTGGTTCTTGTACTCGAATCCTGTGAAGCCGGTGTACGGCATGTCCTCCTGGTACTCCCCCCAGCTGACGCCTTTCTCCTCGAGGAGGTCCACAATGGTGGACACGTTGGAGGGAATGTTGATCAAGTTGTCGTGGTTGATACCAAAGTAGTCACCGGATATGGCAGCTGCATAGTTTGGCATGCTGGGATGCGTGACGGCGAAGTGGTTGGACAATGTAATACCCTTTTTAGCCAAGTAGGCTAAATTTGGGTCGCCAATCGCCAGATCATAGTCGGTGTTTTCCAACCAGATGATGGCAATGCGGTCGAATGCCTTGCCTTTGACGATGTGGTCGTTGCCATGGCCGTGGCCGTTGTTGTGGTATTGGGCATCTCGTACCTCGCTGGGTAGAGATGCTCCTCCACTTGCAAGCGCCAATAGACCGACGACAAAGGCAGACCACATAGTAGCGAGTGTCAGGAAGAAGAGAGGTAACGAAAGAAGTCAACAAGCACCAGGAAGGGGTGATGAGGGAATCTAATAAGCAACTGGCTATTCGCTCGTCTCCTGGACTGCAACCCTCGTGCATGTTGCGAGCCTTAATTCTTTTGCTCTTAGCTGCCGACTATGCGGTGCAGATTACGCAGTGAGCTCGTAGCTGCCTGCCATTTCAGATAGTTCTCCTCGTGTAGAATGCAAGCTCAGCCAATGATGCGTGAATGTCGGGCCAGGCATGTCAAGAGTGTTAAGCATGTCAAGCATTTTTAACGGGTAGGAATACGAATGCTTGAGGTTGCTCCTGTCCACGTTAATCGAAACGCATGCTTGATTGGACGTACTTGGCATCCGCTAGACTCCGGTGGGAAAGTGAACGAGAGGATCAGCGATGAATGCATGCCCGGCCTAGTCCGAGAGGCGGATGGTGGCGACCATGTCCGTTCATGCTTTCGAGCTTTCAAATTCTAGGTAAAGTCTAAATACCTATCGCTGCGCTCTAATTTCGGAATCTTTCGCTTTTCGCAATATTGGAGCTTCGGCTTTTAACTATTCATTGCTGAGTACTAGGCCTTTAGTGGATATATTTCTCTAGCAATGATGTGACCGTGCTTGGTATTTCATTGCTATTTGATGTAAACCAGCTGCGTCTATTCACTTATCTTCAATCCCGGTGCTAGCTATCAGTGGATAAGTTGCGCATTCGTCATCTCTAATTTCCTCGCGTGGGACTCTTTAGCTGGGTTCCGTCAGTCTAGAGAGCTACCTGGGTCTAGAGCTTATGACGGAGGGGCCTTTCTGAAGGTCCTTCCAGTCGATTGGAGTCCCATTGTCTGTGTAGTGCCAGACATAAACTAGCTTTGTGAGAGGAGTGCTGATGCACTGAAGCAGCAATGGCCATTATGGACAACCACCAAATGAAACCCATCGCAAAGAAGAAGATGGATCCTTCTGCCGGCGATGAGGAGGAAAACTTAGGACTGCTGGCAGGCGAGCAGGACGATAGGTCAAATTACTCAATTGACATCGAAGAAGAGTTATACTTGGAGCAAAGCGAGAAGTCTTTTCGGCCCCGTCTGCGCTGGAAAGAATTGTTCCTCAAGATAGCCACGGTTTTATTCATATCATCACTGGTCGGTGGTTTGATAGCACACATAACTTGGCCTCGAGACCACACGCCCAGCGGTCCACGACTGAGACCAGAAGAAGACTACATCTTGGACCCGCATTGGGATTTCAACGCTAAACCGAGCACGAGAGAATACCACTGGACCATTGCAGAGCACGAACTGAATCCGGACGGGGTCTACCGCGACATGATCCTCATCAACGGCATGTTCCCCGGACCACTCATTGAATGCAACGAGGGTGACGAGATTGTGGTCCACGTGTCCAATCGTGGAAGCAATGCTACTTCGATTCACTGGCACGGTCTTTTCCAGAACGGAACGAATTGGATGGATGGTACGGTAGGCGTCACACAATGTCCCATTGCACCGGGCAGAGACTTCACGTACAGGTTCAACGTTTCTCGGCAGACTGGAACATATTGGTATCACAGCCACATGTCGATGCAAGCCTCCGACGGGGTCGTTGGGCCCATAGTCATCCATTCTCGAAAAGAGGAGGAGCTACAGAAGATTCCATATGCAGAAGACCGCGTGGTACTTGTATCAGATCACTACTATGATCTTTCGTCCGACCTCATGATGGACTATCTCGCCCCGGATCGCGAGAACGACGAGCCTGTGCCCCCAGCGGCCGTTATCAATGGTCGCCAGCAGCGCGATTGCGCCACCGTCCCCAATAGGAGATGTGATTCCTCGAATCGTAAGAGGGCCCTCTTTGATCTCGCTTCACACCACAACACACGACTCCGATTCATCAACGTCGGCGCCTTTGCGGAATTCCAGATCCAGATCGATGAGCATGAGTTCTACGTGTCGGAGGTCGATGGTACAGATGTGATGCCACAAGCCATCCATCGCCTCAATATCAATCCCGCCCAACGCTACAGTATCATCGTCGTACCTCCAAAGTCGAACAAGGGTCTGTACTGGCTGCGAGCACGCATGGTAACCCACTGCTTCGCCTACGAGGAGCCCGAACTGCAAGAAGAAGTCTGGGGCGTAGTCCGCTACTGGGGATCTGACGATGCTCCCACCCCGTCCAGCAAAGACTGGCCGGAAGTCATCGAACTCGAATGCAAAGACCTCAACACCAGCCTCCTCTCGCCAGTCATCCCGCAACGTGCCCCCGCCCACGTCGACGACCAGATCTACCTCCGCTCAACCTTCCAGATCAAAGACTGGGCCCTGAGCCGTGGCTACCTGAACGACTCCTCCCACCACGTCTCCGCCGCCAACCCGGTCCTGAACCGCCTCTACGAACCCTCCACCAAGCCCTCCTCCTTCGCGGACTCCCTCTCCACCGCCCCTCCCGTCGGCATCAACACCGCCCTCTCAGACCCCAAAACCGACGGCCTCGTCTACCAAACGACAGGGATCCGCACCCTCGACATCCTCGTCCAGAACTTCGACGACGGGAACCATCCCTTCCACCTCCACGGCCACACCTTCTGGGTCCTCGCCACGGGACACGGGTACCCCCCGCCTCCCGCCGACCTGTACAGCCCGGGCCATTTGGACCTGGAGAACCCGCTGCGACGTGACACGGCCAGCGTCGAGGCGTACGGGTGGACGCTGATCCGCTTCGTGGCGGACAACCCGGGCGTGTGGGCGTTCCACTGCCACATCGGGTGGCACGCCGAGGCCGGGCTGGCGATGCAGTTCCTGGCGAGGGCGGACGTCGTCAGCGCGTGGGAGATCCCCGCGGATGTGACGGCGCTGTGTAGGGACGAGGGCATCGAGAGGGGCATGAGGCCGAAGGACGATGTTTGGTTTGGGAAGATCGGGGGTGTTGATGTTGATGTTGGTGCTGGCGCTGGTGGGGGGACGTGAACGACATAAGGCGGTTTGTTGTTGTATATCCTGCTTGCTTCTTTTCATGTAGATACTTGTTCTTTGTCTGTGTTTAGGTTGGGGTTTTATGTAGCGATCATGGTGCTTTGGCATAGCGCGTATTAGAGATAGATATACACTTAGTTGATGACATTGACGAACACGTTGATGTGTAAGATACATAAAAAGAGGTCCTACCAGGTACAAACCGAAACTCTCGAGCTCAAGGGGTTTGAAATGCCAAACCTTATATCCAGCCACTGTAGTACTTTAACTCCATGATACATTTGATGTTTCTTAAGTTGTGATAGTACGTGCGGTGAAGTCCGAGTAGATTGACCAAGACATACTGGGTAAAAAAATTTGATTGCATGATATATGGATCTCGTCTCACTTATCATATCCAAGTATGTTTACATGTATGTATTCCGGAGCTGTTGCTACATCCTCTGCTCGGGCAATAGGATACGCTTTGAAAAAGACTCGCGACTAAAAAATCGCGTAGTTTACTTGGTTTTCGTTGCACTCGATACCGCGCCGCCTTTCTCACCTTTCGCCTTGATATCCCGTATGACCACGCCTAGGATGCCAACGTTCACAAAGAAGAAAGCAATGCTAGAGAGCCATAGTCCCGGAACGAATGTAGATCGGCCCAGGAATTCGAGTTGGTATCCTTGTTGAAGCCACGCGAACTAGTCATACTCAGTCATTTGAACAAGTCTTGAAGGCTGTGATTGTGATAGCATGCTCTTACCTGCCCAAGTATCCAGAATATCAACGCCGGAATTCCAATAGACGAAGATCGGAGCAGCGTTGAATCCGGCAAGTAGTATGGGAGAAACATCATGTACCACAGGAAATACTACTATACGTTAAATATGTTCTCAGGGGGGATGGGCGACGGAACAAATACCTGGCTTGTGCAAACCTTGTTAAACGTCACGAAAGCGAACGTTTGCGCAAGCATGGTGGCCGGAAGATCCTTCTTTGCCAGAAGAAGTGGGATCAGGACAGCACTGAGTAGAAGCTGCGGCAGAAATGCGAGGCGCTCGAGGCCGAATGAGGGAGTTGTGGCGGCATGTGGCGACGACTTCAAGTACAGAAGTGTGTTGTATGGTGAGAAGTTGTGGCGATGATCGATTCGGATCAGATGGTAGAAATATGAGTGTTCCAAGAATGGTTGTCCATAGCTAGGGGATTGTCAATCTTTGCAGATAACTTTGCGGCTAGTCATGGATGTCTTACCCTTTGTACATGACCACGTTGAGGCCGGCGAACGAGACCAAACTCCATAATGCTAGTTCCAGTCTTTCGAGAGTTACAAAGTTCACAGCCGCTTCCAGGGGTGATTGGGAGGTAGTATTCCGCCTGTTAGAGGCAGGGTTCTTTTTTTCAAGTGCCCAAACAATTGAAGCTGCGTAGATGAAAGGATAGATCTTGAAATGGACAGCAAACCCCAACAGCAAGCCTGCAATTCTCGTGCGCCTTGCGAGCACAGCCCAGAGCAATGCGGTGACGAAGACTCCCAACAAGCCCTCCGAACTTCCACGAGTGCTTATCGTAGCCACCATCGGATTCAACAGCCAGATACTTGCGAATTTCAATGCTCTTTCTTGTGGCATGTGTTGGTACGTGCCGAGTATGCGAAACATCATCCAACCTGCCACAATGTCTCCTACCGCGAACAGAACTTTTCCGAATGAGAACCAAAAGCCCGGCCATGTCGTCGGATATATCATCCAAGCAAGCAATGGGGTGTAACGGTATGTGTCTCTCGCATATGGTGATGTCCCTTGAGCAATGAAACGCGCAGCATCTGTGAATACAAAGTAGTCGATGTCTGTGTATTTCATTGGCGAGAATGCATCTTGAAATAGACCATAGATTAAGAAAACTGCGCGAAGAACAATTGCAGCGGAGAACACAGCGCCCCGGCTTTGGAAGAAGGAAGATAGAGCCATTGGAGGCGAGGCTGTTGGTGGTGACCCTCCTTTTCGGGCACGCGTTCAAAAATTAGGAGATGAAAACATGCACTGATTATCAATCATCAGCTTTTCGCATCGTAGAAACGGCGAATAGATTGGATAATTGATTTTTCGAATGATTGATTGATTCGTCCATAGACACGTCTAAGGGATGGAAGCCTGAGATCTTCTAAAGCGAGAATGCGCTAATCTTCATTGGGGAATGATATATCACGTGCTTGTGGATTAGGTCATCCAAAGGTTTGTTTGACGTAGACTTCGAGATGACCACTTCAACTCCAACTATATTTCCACATATTCAATGGGCCAGAAGCGTTCGCGTGATGACAATATGGCGGACTCCAATGAGACCCCGAGTTCGCCCTTCATGCCCATGTTTGAGGAATTCCGCAAAGAATTAGACGAGCACCACGACAGACGAGAAAGAGTCATAAAAGCGTCCAGAGATGTTACTGCTTCGAGCAAAAAAATGTGAGGCCTGAAGATCATCTGTCTGTTTAGTGTAATCTAATGTGCCTTGCAGCATTTTCACACTGCAAAGGTTAGTCCAGATGATTTAAATGCTCTTACTTGACCCTTACAATGATAAGAATCCGGACTCTCGGTGCTACTATTCCCGCTTTTGCGACCAAAAACAACGCGCAATACTGGGAAACAATACAGAAGCAGTATCAATCAATCGCTACTGATGTTCAGGGCATCAATGCCTACCGATACCCGCAAATCACGGGGGGCAACCAAGAATTCATGGAAGCGCTGAGCTTCCAGCACTATCTGGAAAACCAAACCCTCATATCCTACGAAGAAGCTAGATCGAAAGTGGCTTCCATGAGCGGAGAAGGCCCTGATGTGCTCCTCACGCCCGAAGACTACATTCTAGGAATTTTCGACATGATAGGCGAGCTGATGAGATTTTCCATTACTTGCATAGCGACAAACGGCAAGCTACCTGCGGGTCGAGTCAAGAAAACGGCCAAGAGTGTGTCTGGTGATGGAGCGCAAAATGGAGACCAAATGGATGTTGACCAACCAGACTCCAAACCGACTGAAGAGGCAGAACCAAGGAATGTCCTATCGGATTTACGAGAGATCCGGCTTCAATTAGAGATGTTTGAGGCACCAGATGAGGAGGAGAAATTCTATGCCGAGGTGGAAAGGAAGATGTCAGTCATGCGTCAGTGTGTCAACAAAGTGGAAAAAGCTCTTTACAGCCTTACTGTTCGAGGCAAAGAACGGCCCAAGGGATGGGTCCCAGACGTGAGGGAAGAAAGGCCGACCGCCGTTGAGGGCTATTGATATGAATGCCTAGTATTCAGGGTTTGAGGACTTTGTAATTTGTTCCTGTTGAGCATCAGGACATATCCATTTGTTTCGTGTAGAGTATCCCGTAGTACTGAAAGCTCCCAGTATTGTCCTTCAGGCTTCTGCACGTGACATGAACAGTCTCCATTATACAATATCTTCACAAAATGTTGTTGAGACCATGGACCATTCCGTGCTACCTCCTGTGCAGAGATCCTGAAGGAAACGAATCAAAATTAAGCCTGTGTATCCAAACCATTGCTGTGTGTGACCAAGGAGGTTCCTTTGAAGGAGGTTAGCGTGACTCGCACATTTCGCCTGCACTGGCTGGTGGCACCAACGTTATGACGAGCACCCTTCACCCGCCGTGCCGCCCTCCAACGTCTTCACCCCACGAATCCCGAATATGGTGCCCCGCGCAAAGCCCAATACCTTACTCTCACTCATTCTCTCACTGCGATCAGCTCGCACGCAGACAATGCTCGCCCCTTGAAACCACTCGCTGCAGACGGATTGCTCTGTCGCGCAACAAACCCACTTGGGTCACGGTTTCCAAAGGTGCACTTCAACACTTTCCATTCCACCACCACCCCCTTTCCTCCTCTCAAGCGCGCGACAAAATTTGGGGACGAAATGGCTCCAGGCTTTCCGCTTCGGTCTCCCAACGCGCACGCTTCTTCCCGCGACGATCAGCCCAGGCGTCGCTCACGAGCCCCCGACCGTCCTCATTCCACGCCCGAGAACTCGCAGCGGAAGGTCTTCCAGTGTATCGTGGATGAAACTGCACTCATAGGAGGTGTGAAGAAGAGCACACGCGATGGCATTCGCAAGTGGGTGTCACAGGGCGCCATACGCCTCTATGTCCCGCTCCACAGTAGGTGTACCGGGTTGCGCAAAGCTTTCGAGGTAGATAGACTGACGCAGAACAGCGCTTAAACAGCTCGAGCGTCTAAAGCAGGGCAACGATCGCTCCAGCGCCGACGCTCGCGAGGCCATCAAGTGGCTCGACGACATCACCTCACTACCTGCCGTCGTAGCGTCTGGAAGCGTTCAGCTTGAAGGCGTTGATGAACAATTCGTCTCCTGGGAAGAGGTAGAACCCTTCCTTCTACCAGAAACCCTCCTATCTCTTGAAAATTCAGGCTCCGAGATCACGTATGAGGATGATCTGGAGGAGTCATTCACCCATTTGGACATATCAGACGAGACATCCATGAGCTCGTCTCACAGCTTGGAAGACCCTCCTAAGACGCCACAATCTACGACGTCCATGTTCTCAAATGAAGATACCAAGAAAGAAGTGGAGAACCATTTCCACCCCAATTCTGCGGCTTTGATGGTAGGATCTCCTGACAGGACTGCCCGCAATAGTGTTGAAATTCCAGGAGATGACAGGATGAGGGGTTCCAAGTATGTAGTACCCGACTATCTGAAGTCTCTCTTCAACCACATTCTATGGCGAATCCATAGGGAGAAAAATCCAGATGCCGCGTTGGAATCGTTCATCCTTTTGACAAACGATGATGCCAAACAAAGCATTGCCCATAAGTTTGGCATCAGGGTCAAGCGCCTGGAACAGATGCGCGACGCCATCGTGCACGAAGATCGCGAATGCCGAAATCGCATGGCGTACTTGAAAATGGAGTCTGGAGAATTCAAGCCACGTCCCACTCTCGCAACAGGTGAAAACGTTTCCAAGCTGCAGGATCGCCCAAATCGGAAGCGCGAAACGAAACAAAATAGTCCACGCCGTTCAAGGCCCACCAACATCGATGCAAATGTACCCTCTGCACGACCCAAATCCGGCCCATCCGATGTTGAGGATGATAGTGATGAGGATGAGGTTCTATTCAAGCGCGCACCGAGGGGACCTCAAGCTCCTCAAGCTCAGCAACCACGGGCACCGGAATCACTTGATTCTTCCGGCTTCAATCAATCCAGCCAGCAACCAGCAGGTCGTGGACGAGGCCGCAACGCCCGAGGAGGGAACACATCTCGTGGACGTGGGTCGTTCCCTCGTGGACGAGGCAATGCTGCTGCTCGAGGCACATATGCACCGCCTGCTGTACAAATGCGGACTGCAGCAGCAGCACGCACTATTGACCCGAACCAACCCATCGACCCAAACTCTTTCTCCCGCCCAAATATCCGTGGAGCCAGCGTCCGAGGCAATACAAGAAAGCTGTGGGAGCCCAACTAGTACTTCATAGCAGCATCTACAGCGATGCGCAACATCATGTCGTACCAGTCACCACTTTATGCGATGGCCCCTAGCCGCGATGGGCACTTTCATATCTGAGACGCATACGGATCTTTCTCTCGAGGACGTCTGAAGACCGTTCTCGTCCTAGTCTTCCCTTTACTGGCAGTTTTCAGTAAGACCATTGTACTTCTAGATTGCACATCAAGGTAGCTCAGGCCCGTCAACAGGTTAATGGCGCGAGCCCTGAGTAGTACGGGACAAGTCATTGACACAAGCCAAATATGCTTGATATGCCGTTTCTCATAGCGATGTAAGACGCTGGGTTCGCAGGATCTCCCATCAAAGTAACATGTTTTCACTCCACTGAAAATAGTATTAGCAACTGATGCTGAGATCGTTTCTATTGCGATTACCAAACATTCGCATGTGAACGAAGTTGTAGTGGGACCTCGGAGGGTAATAGTAGATGGATTTGCGACTTTGACAGAAATTGACGAAAGGCGTTTTCCTTATCAGAGTTTTTCTTTCCGTGATATGTGAGGCTTGCTGCGAAACTTATCGTCCCCAACACTTCGAGAGAGGCTGCTCAAACGTCAGCAACCTTGTCTTGATACTTAACATCAGGGCTTTTAGGCAACTTCGTGACAAGGTAGATGTTGGCAACCAATTCAAGGGTCGTGAACATTTTCAGAATGTGTATTCGCCATGTTTTCCCCTCGATAGGACATCAGCGAAGTATGGACGGCAAAGATTATGCAATGAACAGCAAAGATAGTGTATTACCACGTTCATGTCCGTACTTTCAACCCATTGTTCTAGGCATTCCATGGCCCATGTATTTGTAGACAGCACGTTCGAATAGACCAATTGTCCTTGTTTGCAGAAGCTTGACACCAGGCTCAATCTGTATATTGGGCTGGTGCTTGCCTGGCAGAGTTGTAGAGGCTGTACACACATGCAAGATCATGTCAGGAGTGGAAGATAGTGCATAATGACAATAGACCCTTCCATGCTCGTGCCTTGTTCGTCATGGCAGGGCAAAGCAATGGAAGATGAGAGATAGGGTGGCTCTGGCACTCGAGATCTGGACATTCAGCGCGTATGACATCGTTACGAGCATCGAGGGATGGTAATAGATTACGCGCTCATATCACCGCTCTCCCTCCTGTCGTATGTGGTCTAGGGGAACTTGGGCACGATGGAGGTCTCTGTGTCACACTCGTGGAAACCCAACTAAACTCATAAATGAAGAGTTGTCGAGCTGGTGCATCATCTATGGGCACTTGCTAGACAGGGTAGTGCTGGGCTATTTCAATAATAGAGGGCGATGCTGGCTGTGGCCCTGGATAGGGAAGGAGGCTTCATAGAGGAGCCTTTCTGGAGGGACAACTGGCAGCCGCTGAATGTAGTGAGACACCTTCTGAAGCCCACTGTCCTCCTGCCGCTGCTTGTTTGGCCTCCCTCTGGCCCAGTGAACTCCTGAGATTCCCTCGATTATCACCCTTGCCTTTGTTCCATCATCATCTTCATATTTTCTCTGTCTTGAAGGCTCACGGTGGTATACTGTGGGAGTCCTACTCCTTGCCAAGACGGTACGCTGCATAGCGCACTGTATGGCACAATCGGTCCCTGTGCCGCTGAGCGGCCATCCTCACCCGCCACACTCCCTCCACCATCGTTCGAAGACCTCATCATCAATATTTCTACCCATCAACGTCTCTTTACGGCGTGGCAGAAAGATCGTGAGCTTCATATCGTCATAAAACTCTCGTTGCCTTTGTGCACGATTTCTTCGATGTGCCGCCGCCGGCAGCCTCCATTCACCTAACCCGCGTACACCCAGTCCGCCACCCCACCAAAAATGTCTGAGAGACCCCAGAGGGACCTGGTGTCCTCGAATGGAGTGAGATAGCCTTATTGATGAGACTGATGGGATCTGGGACCCTCTGAAGGGCCCCATACGACTCCTGCCTGACTGGTGCCCGCCGCGAACGTTCCACCGCATGAGACGCAGCCTCCACGCAAACACACAAAACCACCACATCATACCGCATGTCGTACCAGGAACTCCTCCTGGTTGAAAGGAGCTTGCCATTACAAAAGAAAAGGTGATTTCAAAGGGAATCATCCGAATCACCACAGCTTCGCCCTTGGGCAAGCGACGCCCTGAAAAGGGCAGTACTGCCGAAGAAGTTTCCTCCCGACGAGCCCATCATCATGATACTGGACTCACTTCGCAATTCGCATCCCAAGACTGGCCGAGCTCTAAAGGAGTACATACTCCAAGAGGGTCTTGCTAAACGTGAGGCAGAAGCACGTATCAAGCAAAATGTTGTTCGCGTTCAAAACAAAGCTCACATAGCACAACTTCACCGACTGCGGAGTCTACCTTCTAGGATGTGTCCAGCGATTCCTCGAGACCCGTCGTATATTTGTTAGCCGCGCACTATTACGCGAGATGGATTCAGAAATCGACTGGCTGGCGACACTTTCGAATTGGGCATTGACAGGGGCTCCCAAAAACCCTTCCCACTCAGCCAGTCGGGGAAATGTGCTGGCCTGTCCTGACATACCGGGTATGGTAATAGAGGAAGGAATGAACTTGACAATACTCCTGGACTCGTTTGGCAATTCACATCCAAAGACTGGCCGAGCTCTGAAGGAGTACATACTCCAAGAGGAAGGGCCTTGCCAAACGTGAAGCAGAAGCATGTATTGAGCAAAAGGTTGTTCTCGTTCAAAATAATCGTATATGGATGCAGCAAAACTGCACCGACCGGGAAGGCGCCCAACAGCGCCCGTCGTGGTGGTTGTCAACAAGCCAGATCTGGCGCCTTTAGTTGAGGCTCCTGCCTCCAAAACCGGTGGAAAGAATCCTAGGCGTGATGATGTTATATGGCTTGAGAACGCACATTCTCTGCTCTGCTGCGGCAGCAGGCATCTCTAGCCAGCAATACAGCAGTTTGTTCATGGCAAACAATATGACGGTGCCAGTAAAGCGTCCTCCCGTCACAATGCTAGTCGCAAACGTATGGGAGAAAATGCCAAAATTCCCATGACGACAACAAGGCTTGAGAACGCAGAGCAGCCTCATAGCACCAGACCTACCCCACACCGTCGATGGGCCCACCGAAGCACCGCCCCCGAGAGGGCGGCTAGAGTATTTTGTTACGCGGATGGGACCTGCTGTAAGGCAGACCCGGCCTCGAGGGCCCATCGCGCAGGACGCGACGAGCACGTCTCGACCCTTCCCCCAGAGATCTAGCCAGCGGTGCTAGTCGTTCGGATTCGCCGTCATCCCATCACTCACGACAAATCCGCCGTGGCCCTATGGCCTATAATGCACGCGATCCATATGAGACTGATGCAGAAAGCCTCGATACCACTCTGCCAGGAGCGTCTATGGTTCAAGTAGAGGATAGTCAGAGAACAGATCCTCCGAAGCTCGGTTCTGGCCTTCCCCCGGAGATCTAGCGAAGTGGTAGCCAAGGGCTAGATTACAATAGTGAAGCCGACTCGGGAGATGACTTGGGAGACGAAGGTGCAGATGCCTATGAATTCAATGAGGTGGAGCAGGCTGAAGCTGGAAGGCATGATGCAGCGCCCGTCCTCGCGGTGGTTGAAGCTGGATCTGGCGCCTTTGGTTGAGGCTCCTGCCTCCCAAAACGGCAAAAAGAATCCCTTACGCGGAAGGAACAGCAAATTCTTTCTGACGCTGGCATGCATGATGCCACATTCGAAGAGCAGTGGGCCAGGTAATTCTGGCGCGTGTGTCTGCTGAGGGCAGGATAACTCCTCCCATCGAGCCCTTTGGGGCCACCCTTGGGGAACTGAAGTCCCGCTGGCTTCGTCAGTCGGGCGCCTTTTGGGATCTGTGGATGGTTGGCCGCTGGCTACCACTTCGCTAGATCTCCGGGGGAAGACCGGAACCGGTAGCCGCCATCGGGCGTGATCGGTCGAAATGGTCTCAAAATCTAGCCTGGACCAGATCGAGAGCCTTGCGCAACAGATCGAGGAATATCGCAGTTCGACTGAAATTAACCTCGAAACTCATCGACTGGACACGCGGAAGGCTTGCGCAGATATTGAGCAGAAGCTAAGCTCAAGCAAAGAAGTTCGCTTTTCAAAGTTCGAATTACGGGTGCTTTGGTGTCGGCCGTGGTCTAAGTTCCTTGGAATATCTAGCCTGGAGGAACAGTACAATATGACACACGACACACAGCTAAGAACAAAAGAAGATCTCCTGGCGCTAAGACTTGAGACGAATGAGAATGCCGCGAACACTACACAATTGAATTCAGACCTCCAGAAGGTCGAGATCAAGCAGCGGGAGCAGCAGCAACATACAGCAAGATACGGTTCCCCGTATCCCACGACAACCTCGGGAAGACCGGGAAGTAGCAGCATCACCAGATAGATACGCTTCCCCGTATCCTACGACAACCTCAGGAAGACCAGGGAGCTCTGATGATTTCGATGGAGTACATGAGTATGACGAGCGAGCTGGCGCCTGGCACCTCGTTGATCTCGTAGCCTGTTCATCTTGACAAACGACGGGTGGCCTCTTCTCTCCCTCAGGGGGTGTTACGCCGGCTAGTCGATGTACCCGCTGATCTGATGGGGGAATGTCGGCAAGACAACCTGGATCGGAGAAGGCAAAGGCGTCGTATGCGATGCTATGCCAATCCTTCATGCGCCTGGTCCGCGCTGTTCCAAGGCAGCGGAGGGCTGGGAGACAATGCCAAAATCCCCGTGATGACAACAAGGCTTGAGAACGCACATTCTCTGCTCTGCTACAGCATCAGACATCTCTAGCCAGCAATGCTGTTGGTAGCGGAGCAGGAACAGCGTCCTCCCGTCACGATGCCAGTCGCAAACGTATGGGAGACAATGCCAAAATTGCTAGTCGTTCGGCTTCGCGTGGCGCATGGGTCTGTTGAGGGTGCTCTCTGGGGCCTCCCTAGGGAAACTGAAGTCCCGCTGGCTTCGTCAGTCTAGCGCCTTTTAGGCTCTGTGGAAGGTTGGCCGCCGTTTCGCGCCCTGGCCTTGCCAAAGGTGAAGAAGAAGCACGAATCGAGCAAAATGTATTTTATGTCTGGGAAACCCACATATCAATATAGCAAAACTTCATCGACTGCGAAGGCGCCGAGCGGCTGCTCCCCCTTGCCAAACGTGAAAAAGAAGCATGCGATGAGTAATACGTGCTTTATGTGCTGGAAACCACATCCCGATGCAGTAAAATTTCACTGACTGCGAAGGCGTCCAACAGCTGCGCACGCGGGCAGATGTGCTTAATGGAGGCAAGCAGTATCCGCCATGGTTAAATGATGATCCACAGATAGCAAGGAGGCGCCTCAAGCATACCCTGACTTTGCCTGTTGGAATACCCTCATCATTACCAGACACTACTCATCATGACGGGTTCGAAGAAAGACTTATTTGCCATTTTGCCTACTTTGAGGTTGAGAGGAGGCATTTGTGATCTTCCACAGCTTTCTGGTGAACGCAACACGCTCAGAAGACCACTGCTGGCATATCCCGGACTCCTGGACTCCTGGACTCTGGACTCTGGACTCTGGACTCTGGACTCTGACTTTGAATACCTGGATACCCGGATACCTGGACTATGTTGGACTCCTGGATCTGCATTCCTGCACTGCAAAATTTGGTATCTGGACATAGGCATTTTCGACCATCCAATGTCTCTATCATCTGATATTTCATCGCCTGAACCTTTGGTCATCTGAACTTTTAATCACCTGAACTTTGAGTCGTCTAATAAACTTCGCATCATCCGAATTTCCGATCGTCCAGTTTCTTCAGCCGGGATCTTTGCCTGTCGCACAAGATATTGATACACATGAACGATGCGACTCATGTCCTTTGGCAAAGCTTCATCGATCCTGTCGCCTAAGTTCTTCACCTTGTCGTTATGACCAAGTGAAATGTCGTTATGACCAAGTGAAATGTCGTTATGACCAAGTGAAAGCGGGTGGATTGGTGGTTTTGAGACAGATTCATCGCTTGCACATCACTCCTCGGCGTTCGTTTCCTGTCGCAATTGTCTAAATATCATTATCGACATCTTCTCTTCCCGGGTTTGAATTGTATGGCCACATCTAGTGCTTCAACCAATGCTGTGGCACTGCTCCTTCCTGGCCGGAAGCTGTCCTGTTCTCAGGCCCAAGCACGTGTTTGGCTCCGTCCTGGTACGGCATCGCACAGGACCGGTGCACCCGCAGAACCTTCTCTTAGCATCTCCTCTCTTGCCAAAGTTGTCCATTGTCTCCCATGATATCGCCGAATCGAACCGAGTGTGTGCATCCTGGATGTTGTCTCTTTGTCGGCGATGCCGTGTTTTACCACATCCTTCGCCGTGCTTTCCTGAGCCATCTCCATTCCTTATACTGAAAGTATGTCCATTGCGATTTCCGTTGCCGTGGCAAAGATGAACTCATGAGCGATTCTGTCCTTGGGTCGAATATTAGGCTGGCTTAGTGGTCGCCGTACCAGCCATCCTTTTGTTGCGTGAGTGAGAGGTGTGCGCGGTTTTCGTTGAGGTCCTCGTGTCCGCAGGGGGATGCAAAGCGCCGAATGGTTTTGCTTATCGAGAGCTTTACAGCATCATGGCACTGCTCATCACGTTTGTGAGGGCCAGTTGTCGGTGTCAAGATCGCGTGTGCGGTGGTGTTGGAGGTTGTTCGCGCGACCAGTCAAAACACCAAGCAGCATCCTCAGTATCACTAGCACGGCGATGAACTTCAGATGCAGCCTGGCTCAACCTGAATCATGCGTGGCGGCGTAGAATGTCAAAGAACAGACAATAAATCATGATCATGTCGACATGATCGTAACTTGAGCTGCATTTCCATACCTCGATCAAGAGCAGTAGGCGGTAGTCAAGAGTGACCTCTCAAATTGGCATACACAATCGGCACACCCATAAGGCAGACGTGCACAAAGTCATCGCCATCTCCTAGTCTTATTTACTCTGGATGCCTCATCTTCGTGGGCTCGGGGAATAGGATGGCTACATGCCATAGAATGTCTTGTGCTATGAGCGTTGCCGTTGCTTACTGGTGTGCTTGCAACCATAGGCAATGTGAAGCAAAGTGTGCGGAGCTCGGCAGTAGTTGCGATGCCTCATACCCAGGGACATTGCATAGGCCTATAGATGTTATGCGTAGTGTGGCAGCACTGGTGAGAGACGGTGGCTGGTTATCCTCCGCGTTTGGTCACTCGTCCACTTGAGGGTATGCTGCCCTCGCTCACCTTCAGTTGAGTGATTGCCTCCCAGGTCGACCAGGTCTACTACGCCCACCAAGGTTTCAACCACAAGGTCTTTCTCTTGGTATATATAAAGCACTTAAACTTGAAGTATCTCAACAATACAAGAGCACTCAAGATAGTGCAGTGGTAATACCACTTTCCCCCCGCCGTACAGGGCGCGGTTGGGGGGTACCGGGTTCGATTCTCGATCCCGGCAATGCCCTGATTAAGGTAAGTATTAAACTCCAGTTTAAAACACGGCCGCACCCCGGTTTCACCGGTTAGATAGTTGAAAAAATTGTCAATTGACAGTTTCTCCGGGCTCCCCTTGCCAGGGAGCCTCGAGTTTTTGCTCCCGAAGAGAAATCGGTGAGGGTTTTTTTTTGCCAATTTTTTTTCCTTGTATGGGGTTCTATGGCTCAATCGGAGTGATTTGGCTTCAGTTCTGGCTCTGAGGGCATCTGGGGGTGGCTGTGGACCATCCGGCGTTCTTTTTTTGCTCATTTCGAGTCACTGGACCAAAAGAGTAGCATCACTGACATCTCTCGCAGGAATGAGAACGGAGGTTAGCTATTTTTACACTAGAAACGTCACACAGAGTTCAATACGAGTCTTGTTGTTCTTGGATTTCTTGTCCGGCCATTGATTGTCAACCTTTTCTGCGAAAGCCGCTGCCCAGCTGAAATGGTTCGCGGCGGTACGCCAATGCCTCTTGCTACCTGCGTTACACAATATGGATACTTTCTAGTGTAAAGGGTTCTCTATCTGAATCACCATCCGAGTCGACTACTATTGCAGTGGAGGGAGGCGTGGTCCATGGGTCAGCGTTGGATCCCACCAGGTAATTTGCGGGCAGTAAGGTGGAGAAATTGGCACCTCTCTTGCCATCGTTTCCTATAGTGAAATTGGGAGCAACAAACGAATAATTGGCTGCGTCGATAACTAGGAAGATTGGGTACTTATCATTGACTCCAAGAGGCGGAAGAGTGAAAAGCATCAGATCGATCGGATCTTTAGGCTTGGTTTTGCATACGACGCAGGTATTCCTGCCCTGCGGAGTAAGGAGGGCAGAAACGCGTCTGGCAAGCCTCAAGTCCGAAGTACAGCTGGAGGTTGTCGGCGCAAGCGAGTATCGACATACCGAGTCAAGCAAGCTGGAGCGGGGCTTGACTCGGGGCCAAACGCACGGCAAGATCCAAAGCCTTCACTTACGGCTTGTGTGTGGCTGCAAGTGCGGATGGAAGTGAGAAAGAGCTCCAATTCGAGATTACAGGTCCGCTGTTTGTTCATCCTGGTTGTATACGCTCAGCTCACGTCCTGTAAGACGACCGAGTCGAGGTGAAATCAGAACACTACGGACGATGACCTCACAAGGAACAAGATAAACAAGCATCACGATTATACCTCTGTAGGTGGTTATAGATACGTGAACGAAATCCTTCCTGAATCTTCATAGGCGGTGTGCGTGGAGACGAGAGCTTCATTTCGTGACCGCTACAGGCAACGGTCTCACTACCAACCAGGTCAACAAGCACCACAGTCATACACCTAAAGGACAGTTCACCGCCCGCGCTTACGACCAACAGTGATCCCCAGGCAGGGAAACCCAAAACCCAAGCCAAACCGGACCCGGAATTGGACATCTGAACCGAAACAAAGCGAGGACATGAAGAAGTTTCAAGCCCCCGAAGGGCTACACAAACCGCCTCTCCAGAGGAAGAATAAAGGAGGAGGAAGATAAGCCCGCCGTGGCATGGTCATGTCATCGCAAGCATGGCAGCCCTTACCATTTGCGCTGCATGCATAATGGTTGGTCACAGATCGGTGTACGAGACTTCTCCTGAATCATCATGTGTGGTTGTAGATGGAGACGAGAACTTCATTGCATTACCGCTACATACTTGCAAAGCCAACGCCGACGATACGAAACGAAAAAAAGGAGACATTCACATGGCTACATCTCCACCACCTCTCTCCCGTGTAGCCTCGTCGACTAGGCCGTGAATTCCTCCACAGTGGATTATGGGATTAAGCTCCATGCCTTGCACTTGGATTTTCCGCTATGTTCAAACCAGAGCTTCCTCGAGCATGGTGTCCGTGTTGTGAACCGTACCTTTATTTCTCAACGCCTCGTTTATTACCGTCAAAGTCACGGGAGATGACGACGACGACGGGAAAGGCGGAGGATGGATGTCAATATCGATTATGCGCACCGTAGACTGCCAGGCCCAATGGTGAGCCTGTTACCAATATATTCATTAAAATGTCGAGATCATCGATCCTTATTCGCATCGTTTTACCGTTTCCGGGTTTTTTTTTTCTTATCAAAGAAAGGAATTCAAGGAGCTCGAACGCGTGAGGGGGGCAATATGATGTTTGGAAGCGACTCCGCATCGTTATGAGAAGTGCTTTCGCGTCGTCAAGTCCGGATATTGCCAGGCCGTGCTTCTCGTCCTCCTCTTGGATGACCTGGTCCAGAATGCTTTCTTTGGACCTATGGCTTCGACTGATGTGATATGATGTATGAGATCTTGGGTTGAGAGAGACTTGCATAATGAGTGAGTTCGGTCGCCTTTAAGGACAGTGCATGTGTACGGATTCGGTCGTTGGGTTTCCCGTACTGGCTTGCCAGTGAAAATGTCGTCTCTCTAGTGGAAGCAATCACCTACTCCTTCAAGACAGGAGCCTTCTTCTTCGGCGTACGCTTCTTGCGTGCTTCGGCGGCTTATGCGAGACACGCATTGAACCCTCCCGAGAGTTCAGTATCAAATGCCTCGTACGCCACCACCTCGTGACGTTAACTTCAGACACGTTAAACCGCTCGGCCACTTCCTTGGTAGTCAACGGCCTTAGATTCCCCTCCGCGCGGAGCCCCTCACGTATCCTGCTGCTCCGCCGACCGTCCGCGACCCAGTTTCTGCGGTCCATCATGTAGTCGTTAACCTTGAGCTTGTATTCGCGGGTCCAGGAACCACACCTCCGGCGGCGGCTGCTGCTGCTGCTGGCCATGGCGGCGTCGGCCTTGAAGTAGACGGTGGTGACGGTGTCTGGAGAGGTCGCTGACAGCGGAGCGTGGGAAAGAGGGTATTGGACACTGGGATTTGTAGGGGCGGGAGGGAGCGGAGCTGCTGCAGGATATGCAGCAGACGCCACCAGAGGAGCATTTTGACGAACAACAGGAGCAGAAGCAGGACGAGGTCTAATGGGGGCAAAACGGGGTCTAACGGGGGCAGGACGAGGTCCAACGAAAGTAGGACGAGGTTCAACGAAAGGAGGACGAGGTTCAACGAAAGCAGGACGAGGTTCGACGAAAGCAGGAGGGCCAACCAAAGGAGGACGAGGTTCGACGAAAGCAGGAGGGCCAACCAAAGGAGTACGAGGTTCGACGAAAGCAGGAGGGCCAGCGAAAACAGGACGAGGTTCGACGAAAGCAGGAGGGCCAGCGAAAACAGGACGAGGTTCGACGAAAGCAGGAGGGCCAACGTAAGGAGGACGAGGTTCAAGGAAAGCAGGAGTAGGTATGCCCACGAAACTGTCTTTAGGCTCGAGCCTGGGCCCACAGCGAGGCATGACCTCCCAATTACGTGTGGTGACCATGTCCTAGCAACTCAACTTCACGATGAGGGAAGTCAATCGATATTTGCCCCACAGAGGATGTCAGGAAGGGCGGAGCGGAAGGAGAGGCCGAAGTGTGAAGAGTGAGCTGGCTGAGGAGATATTACCGGTATCTATATTTTGTGTGGGGTCAAGCCACCAAGCCACCAAGCGTTACACCGCAGCCCTATCGTGTTCTTTGAAGTCCAATGATGGGTCGGCCCGTACCCGCGCGAAGCAAGTTGTCTCAATGGGCTCTACCTAAGGTGGTGTAAGGTATTGCAAGCCAGCCATCCAGCAAACGGTCGAACATGACAGGCGAGTTTAGGTCCCAGGCTAGGGGCTTTTCCAAGGCCAGCGTGGGCGGGCACGCCAGGCCACGGGTATAGCCATCTGCACGGCGGCGTTAGAGCTTGTCAACTAACCAAGGAGAGGGTGGGTTGCATGGGAAGGGAAGGTAAGGGAGACGGCGCGGGTGCGTGCGTGTGATACATGCCTATGTCTGTGTCTATGTCCGTATCACGCATCCTGCAGTGCTACCTATGGTCCATGACCCAGGTGTTGCGGTCTGCGATATAGTCGATGACCTTGCGCTTGAACTCGCGGGTGAGAGAACAAACCCTCCGACTCGGGACAGCGGGCGGTGTGATCAGCTTTCGAGTGTTGCCCAAGTTGTCACTGGCGACGGGCCCGCGACGTTTCTTCCCGGGCAGGATCCTGGCCTCGACGACTGCGGCGTATCGTGCAGCGGCTGCTTTGTGGGCGGCTGTGTTGAAGCGGGGCATCCTTTCCCTGCTGCTGCTGCTGCTGGCCATGGCAGCGTCAGCAGCGAAGATGATGGAAGAGATGATGGAAGAGGTGGTGGAAGAGATAATAGAAGAGATGATGGAAGAGATGGTGGAAGAGATGATGGAAGAGACGATGGAAGAGATGATGGAAGAGATGATGGAAGAGATAAAAGAAGAGATAAAAGAAGAGATAAAAGAAGAGATGATGGAAGAGGTGGTGGAAGAGATAAAAGAAGAGGTGGTGGAAGAGATAAAAGAAGAGATGATGGAAGAGTAGGTGGAAGAGTAGGTGGAAGAGTAGATGGAAGAGTAGATGGTGGATGAGATGGCAGAGGAAGAGATGGCAGTGGAGGAGATGGTGGACAAGGTGGTGAGTAGATGGTGGAGTAGATGGTTGAAGAGATGGAAGCGGTGATGGACGAGGAGATGGTTGAAGAGATGGTGGAAGAGAGATGGTTGACGAGAGATGGTGGACGATGTGGTGGAGTAGATGGTTGAAGAGACGGAAGAGATGGTTGAGGAGATGAAGAAGAGATGGAGGAAGACGAAGAGGAGGACGATCTACCTCTTTTAAGGCTCGAGCCTAGGTCTATCGCGACTTCACATCAGGGAAATCGATTGTTGTTGTCACGAAGGGGCGGAGGAGGGGGAGGAGGGGGAGGAGGGGAAGGAGAGTCGTCGAATGGCAGTAGCAACAACACGATGACGATGACGATCACGATCACGATGACGATCACGATGCCAGCGAGCATGGCAGGGCAGTGCGCAAGGCTTCACTGTGGCAGGACCGACAAGACGTGCAGCGAAGCTCCCGCGAAGCAGAAGTGCGCGATGAAGCCGCGATGAAGCCGCGATGCTACAGCCTTGCGCGATGAAGCCGCGATGCGATACTACAGCCACGCAATGTCTAAGCAAGACAAGGAAGACGTTGCCCACGGCGAGACTCGACAAGACACGAAGCATCAGCAAAGACCGGAGCATCACGACAGACCAACCGCCTCACCCTCACCTACTCCCACTCCCTCCTCTCCTCCAACTCGCCCACGCCCGAAGCCATCTTCATCTTCATCCTCCATCGCGATGACTAGACAGGAAGATCAACCAGGCCTCACAAGCAACGTCTGATAAGTACTCCGTTGTAGACGGGCGTTGGGCGGGGGATGGGGTGGTTGTCGTCGCTGAAGCCGTTCCCCTCGTCGTCGTCTTGATCGTCTTGGTCGTCCGCCTCGAGTGCTTCTCCAGCCTTCGAGTTCGTCACATCAACAAGAGGATAAGCATCATCATCATCATCATCATCTTCACGGCCAGCAAGTCCATCATCCCATCCCCCACAAACGCTGCAACAAAGAGCCCCATCATCCCGCCCTCACGCCCTCATCCCCTCATCCCCTCGATCTGCTCCTCGCGCCGCTGATCCCTCTACCCCCGCTGCTTCGCCGTCTTCCACGCCAACGCGCGCAGCACGACGCCTTCGTTCTCAGGTCGAGTAGGTTAGAAGGACATGGCAGAGGAGAGGCACGTCGTGGTACTCGTAGTGGTTCCCATGGCCACGATGTCACGCTTCCTACCATCTCCACCCTACGGACGGTTCCTCTGTCACTGATGCGCACATAGCACATCCCACACATCTCATACATGGCAATTCATCCTCTCCATCGGTAGGGACACTCCCTCGATGGTGATCACCCACCGGCCGTGGTCGCTCCCTACGGAGGGCGAGCGTTTTCATCCACTGGCAAGCGCATTCTTGGAGGATCGTTAGATAGTTTGTAGACGCTTTTAATCCAGATTGATCTCTCTCCTCTCTCTCTCCTCTCTCTCCTCTCTCCTCTGCCTCCTCTGCCTCCTCTGTCACCTCTGTCACCTCTGCCACCTCTGCCACCTCTGCCACCTTTGCCACCTCTACCACCTCTACCACCTCTACTACCTCCTTGACCACCTTGACCACCTTGACCACCATAGAGCCCTCCTACCCCAGCAGCTCCGAGGAGGGTGAGATTAGCAATGACCAGCCTCAGATTGAACGCAAGAAGGCCGGCCCCCAGACCGAGACTGTGGTTCGCTACACTCACTCACACTCTCACTCACACTCACACTCACACTCACACTCACGCTCACACTCACGCTCACGCTCATGCTCATGCTCATGCTCATGCTCATGCTCATGCTCACAGCAGTGGATTTCACTGCGAGGAGTCAAGACTGTTCACTGTCGTGACTGCCTACACAGTGTACTGTCATAGTACAACATCACTCTCCAGGTATAGTCTTTGGGCATACAAGACACATGAAGCTACCTACCTATAGCTAGCAGGTAGACGACCCGACGCGCCGTCGTCTCTCGTCGTCTCACTAAAGAAGTGAGAACTAGTATCTGTCCACCTACAAAGAGGTAAGAGAAACAAAGCATTGTTCCAACAAAGGATGTTGTTCCCAGATGGACAGAGCAAAGAAGACATAACCACATCCCCAACCTCCTGTCACCGCAGCCATGTCTTCACCTCTCGCCCCTTCTCTCCTTCTCCCCCTTCTCTGCCACAACCATGACTTCCCCGTCTCCAAATGCCCTCTTCATCTCCATCTCCTCCGTCCATTCCCTCCGTCAAGACTACCGAACCCTCCGTCAACAAACAAACCTCTCCCCCCCGCTCGGCCGACCCTCCGCCCCATCCTCGCCCAACTCTCCTCACCCACCCCCACCCCCTCCGAAACCTTCAGGATAGCCAACGACCCTACCCCATCATCAGGCCAATGCGTCCGCATCTACGACGTCCCCGACATCCTCCGCCTCCGCGCGGCCCTACCCCATCGTGACGGGGGTTTCCAAGTCCACGGCGACGTCATGACGCCCCTGGCCTGCCCAATCCCGACTCCTGAGGACGACGGGGATGTGGACGATCCGGAAGACGTACGCGACACCCTCTCGCCCCTTCCGGTCGTGCAGGTCGACGCAGCGAGACACTTCACAATGAAGGCGAAGTATATGAGCGAAGTCACAAACTTACTACAGTGTCAACGCGCCTCCCCGAGGGCCATCCAACTCCTGGGGAGGTCGGCGTCTGGAGAGCTCGTCTTCGAGCGCCACCTCACTCGCTACGACGTCGGGCGGTACTGCTCGATCGCCATCTACAAGCGCTGGATCCTCGACATCATCGACGCGCTGGCGTGTTTGCATGGGAGGGGATCGTTCATAAGGATCTGATAGTCGACAACCTCCTCTGGTCCGTCGACGGCCAGCGCGTCGTCGTGTGCGACTTGGAGAGTCACTGGGGGCTGCGACACGCGCCGGAGGTGTCGTGGGGCCGGAGGATCGGGCTAGTATTGAGGAGTTGAGGGTGATGGTTGAGGCGATTGACGATGGGGATGGCGATTCGCCTTCAGGCACAACCCCTACCGCCCTATCCTGTCAATCCATCCAAGAGCCATCGTCAATCGACCATGGGTGGAGTTTTACGAAACCAGAATTCCCACATCGTTCCTCCTCCTCCTCCTCCTCCTCCTCCTCCTCCTCCTCCTCCTTCTACTCCTCCTCCACCACCACCACCACCACCACCTTCTTTCGGATCCAACCAACCTGTTGTCGTGGCACAATGATCGGCGTTCGTACGCTGCCCATCCTTCACGACAGACACTCCGTTTGGTATTCGATTCGAATACCGTGAAAATTCGCCGAAGCCCCCCTCCTGCTAGACCCAGATGGATTGCGTCAGAAGCACGACTCGGCCCCTCGAATCCTCCCGTGAAAAATCCAAGACTCTGAAAATATAGAGAGAGCATTGCGCGTATATGTCTCCACACTCTAGGCGCATCTTGTAAGTATCGTGAGATTTTTGGGGTTGGGGCTGGATGGCAGGTTGGGTGGGATGGTTGGATGGTTGGTTGGTTGGATGGTTGGTTGGTTGGATGGTTGGTTGGTTGGATGGTTGGTTGGTTGGATGGGATTGTTGGATGGGGGGATGGGGTGATGACAGGTTGGTTGGTAGGTTGGCTGGTTGGCTTTCGGTCGATCGGGCAAGGGTGGATAAGCTGAAATGCCCTCCCGCTCCTAAGTATTATTCCTTAAACTTTAAATAAATAAGTGAAAATAATTACATGGGGAGATAGAAAAATACCTTCTCTTTTTACTAAGCTACTTTTCAACTTGGTTTAAAGTAAAAAGGCAGCTGTTTTGTGCTGATATCGTGGTCGTACATCACCAGCTAATCTACCCCTCCCTGATCGACCGAGAGGTTGGTTGGATGGTTGGTTTGGCACATGTGATAAACTCTTCGTGCTTCCTGCTGCGTCCTGGCAAGAGCTCAAGCGATAGCAAGGAATCCATGAGCGCCAACCTCACTCCCGGTTGCTGTATTCGCCTCGCTCGATGCCATGTTGCCGTCTTGTTTGTCGCCGGCCTTCTTGGCCTTCGAAGGAACCCGCGTTTGCTACTCCGCCAGCACCTCCACCTCTTCTCCAATTCGTAATTTGCGTGGTCTCCCTCTGGCATCCTTCAGTTTGTCCGCAGCCTCTTTACCGGCTCCCAGGCGAGTCGATCTGCCTTTCGGTCGCGTTGGCTAGGCCACACCTTGCGTCGCTCGGCTCGGGTTAGCCTTCTGCGCAGCGTTCGGAGCCTTTCGGCTGGTCACACGTTTCCTTTCGACTCTTGTCTTGACCATCGTGGTTGTAGCAGGTACAAAGAGAAGGGATAGACTCAAAACGGCGGCGTCGGAAGACGCTTCCCACAACCTGTACGTCGTGAAATGTGGTGGCTTGAGCAGGGCCCATCTCCTCCTTCGTGGTATTGTTGTGCTGAGAAAGGAAATCGTTGAATTCTTCAATGCCACTGATATCCTTCGAATCGAGGGCCCTTAGAGACATCGTACTTTTGCCGGGAGGTGGAGCTGATAAAGACGGAAGAAGCGCGAACGTGGGCTTTGAGTATTGCTGGAAGCTGCAAGGCGAGCCACGCCTTTAGCCGTCAGCGCTTGGAAATGGTCCAGTAGAGGAGTTGCTACCACTTACAATGCAGGAGTTTCATGAAAGCTGTTCACATGGACTCTCGGCGTCTTCAGTTCAATATGCGCGACACGTGTAGCATTGTTTGTACAGGACCATTCAGCGAGCGCTCGTGTCGCGCTACTTGTGTGTCTGGGTTTCCTAACTGAGTAGGTTTTTGAATTTCCGTCGAAACCTTCTGCATATGAAGGACCAGCGACATTGCCAATCAACGTTCAGCCGATGGAATCCGTGTGTCCAAGTTTCCTGATCAAGTAGGTTCTTGAGTTTCCGTCGAAACCTTTTGCATATGAAGGACCAGAAACCCTGCTAATCAACGTTCAGCCGATGAAGTCCGTGGGTGAAGGAGAGTGCCTATCAACAGCCATTCCAGTCCAATTTGCCTAATCGAGTAGGTTCTTGAGTTTCCATCGAATCCTTTTGCATGTGAAGGACCAGAGACATTGCCAATGGCGTTCAGCCGATGAAGTCCGTGTACGCGTTCAGTGGGAGAGAGTGCCTATCAACGTCCGATAGCAGCCATTTCACAAGCCAAGTTCCCTAATTGAGTAGGATGTCGAGTTGCCGTTGAAACCTTTTGCATATGAAGGACCAGCGACATTGCCAATCAACATTCAGCCGTGTAGCGTTCCGTGGGGGAGGGTGCCTATCAACGTCCAATAACAGCTCTTCCACAGGCCAAGTTCCCTGATTGAGTAGGTTTTCGAGTTGCCGTTGAAACCTTTTGCATATGAAGGACCAGCGACATTGCCAATCAGCGTTCCAGCCGACGGAGTCCGTGTGTCCACATTTCCTAATCGAGTAGGTTTTCGTGTTTCCGTCGAAAGCTTTTGCATTTGAAGGACCAAAATGCCAAGGCAGACGTGGGGGCTCGGGCTCGTCCTTCAACAGTTGAGCGTCAGGTGACATGCACGTGATCAATCTCATCCCTACCCACTTGCCTAGGTAGCTAGCACCTGGTGAACCAAAAACGCCGCACGGTTGAAAGATACCTGTTTGAGGCTGGAGAAGCTTCCTTGAGGCTAGATAAATCGTTGTTTAGAAATGTGTGAATATACACATGTACAAAATTTAGGTAGTCAATATATGTTTGTACACGCATTCCACACCTACAGCCACCTAAAAATTCCCAAAATGAAGAAGGACTCACCAACGGAACAAAAAGAAAGAAACAAGTCGTATACGACATTATCAAACGCCCAGAGATGAAGGCCTTTCATGGAGTCGTGCCAGAGTATGATGGACAGGATTTACCCGAAAAGAACGCCAGATGTTTACAACACGACCGAGCATACCGAGCACACCGAGCACCGAACTTTGCATATGAGAAAACACGATATCAAAAAAAGTAAGACGGGAAGGATCATCCCATGACGGTATGCCACCCCTTCTCGATCATCACATCGATCCAATACGCATCCTCGCCCGCATCGCTCCGCCGCCATACTTCGCCCACGAGGTTGATGCACTTCCGTATCGGCTTCCCGGGAAGCCGCATGGAGTACTCCTCGAGTCGCTTCAGGGCGAAGTCTCGCGCTCGCTGCACCTTCACGTCGTTCGAGGTGACGTCGAAGAAGTCGACTGAAGAGACGTACTTGAGCTCGGAGGCGGCGGACACGAAGAGGATCGGTTGCAGACAGCAGGTGCCCGACGACGAGGGCAGCGTCTCGAGCTCGCCGAGGATGTGCAGAGCCAGCGAGTTGAGCCACAGCTTTGTGTCGAGATCTTCGTAGGGGGTCTCGAACCGCGGCGTCGGGCATTCGAAGTCGAGAGGCTCCGTCCATGTGTGTTTGTCAAGGCCTAATCGCTTGCGCAGGGTCGATGGGAATACGCGGTAGAGTTCGAGAAGACCAGCTCGTCGGTACGACTCTGCAATGACGATGAAGTCGCGCTTCGAGGTGCGGGCGTCGCCTGGGTCGGCTAGGTCGTCTGCTACGGGGTACTCGGCGGCGAGGAGGTCTTCTTCCAGTGTCGCGGCGTTGAGCAGGTTTTCTTGTCGCTGTCTTGGGTCGTTCCCCCCGAAAATGGCGAGGATACGCTCCTTCCGCACCAACCTTCCCACTTCGGCAAACAGAAATTGTATCGTCGGCGCGATGCCAGTCCAAGGGTGCGGTACGATCTTGCCCTCGCGATTGCGAGCAGCCGGTGCCGGTCTGGTCATCATCCTGCTCCGCAGACCTGACCCAGAGAACGAGAGCGAGTCCTGTGTCACATATCCCATCAGCATCTCCCAGTATATTAAAGACTCCTCGAAGAATTGCGTCTCCCGGTGCACCTCCTCTTTCTCTGAGCTTGACAGAAGTTTTGGCAGTATTAGACTCCTCGCCGTGGTAAGGAACTCTTCTCCGAGCGCACTGCTCTCGTGCCATGACGTAGTCATGCCCAGTAATATGATACTCAGGAACGTCGTCGTGCCGTTGATTTGGCCGCGTTGTACGAGGGGAAGTTCGGTTTGAAGGCATTCGCATGCTTTCCGTTGCATGTCGATACCGACATTTGTCATATTTGGGAAGATATTTGCTAAATGCGCGGCAGCCATGGATTGGATAGCATAATAAATAGACGAGGAGCCCTGGAATATACGACCGATGGTTGTTCTGTAAGGGTTGAGGACGGAATCAAAGGAGGAAAATAGTACGCAGACATCTTTGAAGTAATGCTGGACCAGCATCGATTCCATATCATCTAGCGACGCCCTCGGTGATGGGCTCGGTAGGCGGTAGTAATCGAGAAGTAAGGAGCGGGATAATCGTGGACTGGGTTGTCCGACAGAGGAGGTATCGTCTTGGGAATGCCATAACTCTTCAACATCGGATAAGTTGTCGGATATTGCACATTCGTCGGCGAAGGTGATGGTTTCCAGGCCATCGAAGGACAGGTTTCGTCCGAATTCTTCATCGACGTCGAGACTGTCATCTGCAAGCGGCTCGATCTGTAGAGGGTCCTGGAATTCGAGGGGAAAGACCTGCTCATCTGGCGTTGAGTGTGGTGTCGCTGACGCCAATTGCTCAGAACTCTCGGGAGACTGGTCTGGTTGATCGGGAGAGGCATGGACTTCCTCTATTGCCTCTGACCTTTGCTTCACTGACGGGAGCACCGCAGCAAGTGCTTCGAATCCACTGACTACATCTGGTGGTAGCAAGACTTCATTCACCGAGGTTCCCGACAAGGCGGCGTCACCACCTTGGTGTGCCACATCCCATTGGAGCGTGGGTTGCAGAACTTCATACTTGGTCGACCACTTGAGCGTCTTCTCATAGCCAGGACATCTAATCCCTCTCTTCTCACATTGCAGACATTTTCCTGGAGTCTCGTCGCACTTGAGCTGTCGTTGGCCAGGTTAGCAGAGAGTGTACCAGGGCGGGGTGGTGATGGGGGAAGCGGTGCGGATCCGAAAGAATGGAAGGGACGATGGAGGCAAGGTGTGGACCATACCCGTTTCAGCTTGCATCTCCCACAACCATTTCGTGATTTTGTCTTCTTCGTCTTCTTACTGCTGTTTGCCGGGTCTGATGTCGCATTTTTGTCTAGGGCGAATGCTGGAGGCATGTTCTGTTGGAGAGGGAGAAGGATTGAGTTAATTAGGGTTGTGGTCGGTTGTCGTATGGTTGTGGAGTGATGTCCTCTGGCGTTGACCTAAACGAGGGGCTTGGTTTGGTACGACCTATTTACCTCGTACCTACGCCTATTATTGTTATTATACCCAGCATGCAATGATGGGATTATTTGATAGAACTGGATTGGAGAGACTGGACTGGACTGGACTGGAACTGGGACTTTGGGAGTCAGTGGGACATGGGCTCGTGGGTATTTTGCGGAGGTCGGAATCATCTAGGTCCTAGGGTAAGGTCGATACTAAGGTAGATGACGCACTCCTATTGGCCGCCCACTCGACGCCAAAGGCAATCTACGAGATATCGCTGTTGGGGCGATCCCCCAAAGGTTCCAAGGTTACGACCAACGAGACTCTGTTCTTCTATCTCGCCTTGGTGTCTTCTTCTTCTTCATCTTCATCATCATCGTTCTCGCTAATGGCGTTGTAGTTTCATATTTCATAGTTATCACTTGGTGTACAAAAACGAGAATCGAGCCTGGCTTGTTACTCCTCTTTGTGGTGGGCCAGCAATGAATAACTGTACATACACAGTAAGTACATGAGTCATCACGTGACGCAACTTCCCTTCTCCCCCCCACGCATCGTCAATTCGAAATGCGGATCCGACATTTTGTGGATTTACAGAGTAACGAATCGCTGGCAGTCGAAACTCCAGGAAGACTCACGACTCACGAGTACTCGTAACAAGAGTGGCATTATTGCCTCCCTCATGCCGCCAGCGCAGGTGCCGTCCACTTTACCGCTAAACCCAAATAGAACAAAATATCCAGCCTTATCGCATCTCAACTCCCCGCCATCGGATCCGGGCGTCAGCTGTGGCCTGTGTAACGAGAAGACATCACGGATTTCATGTGAATACTCTTCTCAGGAAACAGGTATGATTAAACATCAATGAGAACACAAAATTGAAGCCAATCTATTCCGTACTGCGTACTGTCTATGTGTATTTCACCAAGGGCCATACTGCTACTGCTGGGCTACCTCCTCTATCGATCCTTCCGTCTTGGCATCAAAAGTCCGTGCTACCATTCGAACTGACGGCAGATCTCTAATTTTCGGAGGTATAGGGTAAAAGATTTAATAGATCTGATTAAAATCCCCGTTTGAAATGGATATGTTCGTTGACTGTGAATGTAGCCGCCTCTGCTAGCCGTTGGTGTTGGTATCGCATTCAAGAATGTAGGTAGTCTACGCCGTGACGCATGTTTTGTCAGTTTTGTATTATTTGTCTGGTCTGTATATTCTATTATTTGTTGTAGACTCTACACTATACAGTGTCCTTTGTCGCTCATAAGTGTGGGTAATTAATAATCCTATAATTGTAATTTCAGCTTTTGCGGCTCTCGGTAGCGCGTGCTAACCTTGTTGTTGCATCATTGTATTCTTGAGTCTTTGTGCCATAATGTTGTTGTGTTGTTGTGTTGTTGTATTATTGTGTTACTTTGTCATTGTGTTATACTTGATTCACCAGTCTTTGAAGATCAGACTACAACTCTTTGGGAAGTTGACGTCGACCTATCTCTTTGTTAGTAGGTGTATATATTGAGGAATGTATCCCTTCAGTTCAACATAAACCATCAATTCACAAACACAGCATAGCGACAAGCAACGACCAAGGCCACACCGACCACCAATAAAACTTCAACGAATTACGAAACTTACAAGCCTACGCTTTCAAACATCTACACCGTCCCATTGCTTCCATCCGTCCCCGTCGTCGAACTTGCCAGGGTTCTTTGCGTGTCTCTGACCATTTTCGCGGTTCTTTGAATAAGCAAGACACTATTGACAAGCGAGACAATGCTTAATTGCTTCCCTCCGTTGCATCGTGGTGGAAATGGCCAGGCACGATCGCCTTACTTTCCAAAGTTCATGCAACTTCCGCTAGAGCTAAGAGAGTACGTATATGGACATCATATTATGAATTGCGGTGCGGAATATGGAAAGAAATATGGAGATACTTTACTACCTCATTGGAAATACCAAAAAGTTATTACTTATCTCTCCTGCAAAGGTCCATATGTGCCCTGCAAGGATGCGTTGTTATTTGTGAGCCGCGCCATCTCAGCAGAGTATGGAGAAACATTAGCTCGTTACTGTCAAACGGCGCGAGTACAGCTAGGGTTCTTTCGCTATGGACGATTATGCGAGAGAGAGGCGAGAGGGGCTAGAGAGGCTATCGCAGATCTGATTGGAACAGGTGATCCTACTTCGATAGTCACGAGCAAGATACGCAGAGTCGAGTTGGTTCTACACGCACAAACTGAGTTCACGGAAGGGGAGACAGAGGCCGTTCTTAGCGGAGTTTTTGACCTTTTACAACATTTCAAGAACATGGAGCGAGTATACATCTGGTTCAAAGATGAAAATTCTGCGCCAGTCAGTCCAGAAGAAAAAGCGAAACTTCGAGTAGAAAAAGCGAAGCAGTTACAACGTCGCGTCCAGAAGATGGTCAATAACGTGAGACAACTGGACAAAATAAAGGATTTTTGGGTGTCGTGGCAACATGGTGGTCTCCACAGTGGTCTCCACGAAAGTTCATGGCAATGTCGAAAAGATTCTCAGAGTTGTTGGGAAAAGCTGAATAATGATGGTGGTCGGGAGGGCCCATGGTCTGCACGCACACCGTCGTCCTGGGTCTACTGGAACAAGTGGTATTGCAAGACGTGTGAAAGGTTCCGGAAAGCAAAGGATGTCCCGTTTCGCCTTGAGTGTGGACATGATGAGCTGAAGATCAGATCTATGAGAGCCGATTGCTACGACAGGCTCAAGTCCGGGCTGAGAAGGGTTGTAGGCTCACATGAGTAGGTGAATCTTGATAGACGTTCCACCTGTCCTCTGCAGTAGCAGACGACCCGCATACTCATTGCCAGTTAACATGGATAGAGCCAGCCAGGCATTGGCCATAAGTTATGACGTGCCTGAGGGTATGCCCCAGTCGAACCTTCCCTTCGCAGACTACCACGGCGTCTCCTCTTCCACGCTACAACGCGAGGGTTATCGCAGAGTTTTTCGTAGATATAAAAGCGAGTATCAAGACAAGATTGCCTCTGATCAGTGTGGTGAACTGACTACTATCGCTGGCGTTGATTTCAAAGACTCAAAAGCAATATTGTATTGACTACGAAGGAAATCCTACATATGAAAATGAATGTCCAGTCTGATCGAAGGAAATCGTAAATATGAAAAGGTCCAGTCTGATCGAAGGAAATCCTACATATGAAAATCGTCCAGTCTGATGTATCCGTCCCTCCTAGTCTGTGCTCGGTGTGCTTGATGTCCTTGGCCATCGAGCATGTAACAATTTATACCGATCACTTGTAATGAAAACCATTGATACCGATCACTTGTAATGAAACCATTGATACCGAAAACGTCATGTGATGTTGGATCACGTTGACTCGTCCTTTGGGTGTCACCCAAGTCCTCCGTTCCTGATCTTTGAGTTGAGCAAGATCCTCGATTCCTCGTAATGGAATGAAACCATTGATACCGAAAACTTCATGTAGCCTCCCAAGAAGAAAATTCGTCAATAGTGTGTCCGTCGCTTACGCACCGCGGCTCGATAGGGAATCGAGGAAGAGGCCGGATAGAGGAAGGCACGCAGCCTTAATATATCCCTAAACAAAAGAGAACTAGTAATTTTTTCATAAAGAAGCGCGCGAACAGGACAGGGATATTATCTCGCAACCCCACAAACACATTTTACCGGGCTAGCGTAGCCGAGAAAAGAAGTAGTAATCAAATTGCCGTTGACTTACTTTGCCATCTTGATCGTATCAGAAGAACTATGAACTCTGTGGTGCAAAGTCAAGCTGGGTCATGTGCTGGTCAGAACCTATGAACTCGCACTTCGAGATCCTGAGGTTCGGAGCCGTGCGAAGGCGAATGTCTTTAACAGCGATGGGCTGATCCGAGCGGCGCGATCCGGATGAAGTATTCAGGAAATAGGATGGCACAATCATTGTTGTGAGCGATGAGAAGCGCTCAATTGAAACCATCGGTCTTTCGCGAAATGCATGCCGGCTTTGCTGATACATCTCATCCCCAACACAATTGGCCGCAACACAATTGATGGTAAGTTTTCTTATGCCTGAGGCGATGTCTTGCAATTGGTCTAGGAGTTGTTGAGCTGAATACCTGTTGGTGGGATTGAAAGTATCGGGAGCCCACAGGTCGATACTGAGCCTCGTAATCTGAATACCATTCATTGCCTCAATGAGGTGGTTCAAAGTGCCGAAGATGAGTGTGGCGTGTTCTACATTCGCGACTTTAACCGTGGCATCGAGGTGTAAATCCTCCACACCGCGTGCTCCGGGTAGTAGTGCACGTTTAGGATATAACATGGGGGTGGTTATTCTCCGTACACGTAATGTGCGTAACTTTGGAAAGTTAATCCCCAGCAGTGGAAGCATAGCACCACCAATAGCGAGCGATCGCAACCGTTCAAGAACGGGTGCTACAGGTTGCGGCACCTCGTCACTGCCAAAAAGTTGATACCAAGGCGACTGAGAAGCGACATTCGGCATAATAGGCGCGACCCTGATGTCGAGCTCGGTGAGCTGGGGGAGACGAGTGAGAATCAGACCTGCTACTGTAGGTAAACCATCGTCCCTAATCTTCTGCTCCCACAGGCTACCGGCAAGCCCTAGCTCATGCAATGCTTGAATTGACTTCGCCTTGAGGTCCGGGTCAAGAGCCGTGTTGGATTCAAGCAAAACGCAGACCTGCAATCGCCTTACTGTTGAACCAAGCTCCGGGCACTCGAATAGCGTACGCAAGAAGAAAGGTGCATCGTCAGGATAAAGTTTGACGTCGCGATAAAAAGCTTCTGAGGCTATACGTCCTAGCGTCCTGGACGTGGAGCACAATGCGTGCAGTGACTTGCGACTATTTTGCTGCTTAGCGACCCACGAAACGATGTGTGACTGCAATTCCTCTGGTGCGGGAAGCATGTCGGTGGGTTGAATCCTTTAGTTCCCTTTGTGGTAAAGATCCCGCTTGTTAGCTTGAGGTTGTCGAACTCTTTCAGTGATGGGTGATGGCTCTGGGGGGGCGTGGGCGGGTGGCCTCACTCTACCCCCCTCAAAAAAACCAAGGACTGGTGTGGACGTACAATGAGGGGTAAGAGCTGATAAGGCTTCGTGACACAAGTGTTTTGTGTTACCATCTATCATACTCTGCGTTGTGCAACTCCTTCAGGTCTTGTTATGTCTTTGGTAGCTCGTTGTCCACTATGGAGGTTAAGCCTATGCATGTATACAGTAACGCTGCCACTGCAGTATCCACCAATGTCGCTGCCTTGAAGCCTTCCAACCATCAGTACACTCTGTTCTATTGTTTGTTTGAATCGCACACTACAGTTGTTTGTCGCTTCTATCAACTATCGTAACCTCAAAAAACCCACTTCAAACCTATGTTCGGCAAGAAGGAGCTGCTAACATCATCAGATGTTGAAGCCTTGCCTTCCTCCACCCTACACGCACTAATCGTTCCTAGCCCTACCACGTCTCCCCCAAGGTTATTAGCACGCCTCTGGATTTGAGCATACGACTAGGTAAAACAAAGTAATCCGAACACCTTCAATGCTTACCAAAAGATCTTAACTATCCAGCTAAGCGAAGCAGATCTAACCAAGGCATCCCCCCAAGCGGCGATCGCCTGGGTCAGCCAAACCTAGAGAGAATAGAATATCCAGCCTTATCGCATCTCGAGTCGCTACCATCGGATCCGGCTTATCGGGTGGAATACTAAGTAATACGGGGAAAATGTCGAGTTTATTCACAACGGATTGATGGCACATGGTGGCAGTAGGAGAGTTGGATTCAAGTATCCTCAGAAGGGGAAGGAACAATAATGAGACACGGGTGACACTATCCAAGACAACCATTTGCTACATAAAGTCGAGGTCTGGGCTGAGAAGGGCAAGGGCTGTAGGCTCACACTAGGACGTGGATCTTGATAGGCGTTCCAAGTAAAGTCATATCTAATTCTTCTATTCTTTCATTGCGGTCGTGTCTATGCAACGTACGATTAGTTGCAGTTCATAAATATATACATGTGTAGCAAATTTTGCATTCATCGTCATGCTCTTCGTCTAAAACTTTTCCATCAAGTTTTTCCTCACTGTCCACATGCGCGCCCGCTTGCCGAAAATATACATCGGAATCGATAAGAGCATACACCCCAATTGAATACCACCTACAGCAAGAAACACACTCTTCGCTCCATCAGCTTCAAGCCAATGTGGGAAGAATAGTGAGAAGATGAACCCGTGTAGAATATCTGGCTAGGGTCAGTATAGGAAGACTGGAAGGCTTTATATGGAACGTCGAATGAACATACTCTTGCAGAAATTCAGCGTCACCAGGGCTTCGCCGGCATACACACGGTATGAGTCCACCACAAAAGTCACTGCTGTAGTGGAAGCCAGACAGCAACCGAAGCTGATGACGCCGAAGAAGACCGTTGGTACAATCCAAGAGTCTTTCTCCTGGGCACTCCATCCAAAACCCATGAGACCTATCGTTGTGCTCAAAGTGATGGGAATGGCCATGGTCAACCGGAATTCGGGTTCGTACACTCCGTCATTCCTACGGGCCATGAACCGCACGATGATGTCGGAAATCTTCCCTGCCACCGCTGTTCCAAGGACTCCACCAACAAAAGGAGATATATACACCAATCCAACCTGTAACGAAGTGAAGTTGTATGATTCTCGATCTTTGTAGATATGGGAGACCGACTCAGAGAGAACAATTAACCAGCCGACGGCGAGGGCATACACCATCGACGACCATAGAACTGCCGGGTAGGCGAATAGGATGAAGGGGCGGAACATGACCTTGACCCATTTATCATCTACAAGACGGCCGTTCCAGGGGTTTAAAGACTGGACATAGGACTTTGGCGGCGCCTCTCGGTAAAAGCTGGTATAATAATGGCATAGACCGTTTTCATCTGTTTCTTCATTCAGTGCAATGGTATCGTGTGAGCTATTATAGGGCAGACTGGCGCGTTGTTGTTCAACATTGGGAATGTTATTGTCCGCTTCATTTGACGTAGGGAAAGGAAACCCTGTGTCCGAACCTTCTTGGTCCGAGGGTCCGACTTGAGTCTGGTGATGATCGCTGGGTGCATGGATGTGATCTTGCACATTGGTACCCGTTGGGGTCGACCTGGCCTGTGCAGTATCATGATCGCCTGCATCGTCTGCGAAGCCTACCCTGGCACTGCGAGGAGGACGCTGTATGGACCCGGAGCCATGTTGTAAGGTTGATTGTTGTCCAGAAGAAACGGCTTCTCCCGTTCCCGGTAGTGGGATGGGGGCCACGGGGGGTTTTCCAAACTTCGGAATGTGCCAGTTATGATGGTGATGGTGTTGTCCGGGACTCTGACTCCTTTTCCGTGCTGGTCTGCGCTCTCGTGGTCGTGGAGTTCTGTCCCAAAAGGTTTCCGGCACGAAAAAGAAGATCAGGAAGAAGCAGGATCCTACAACTATTGCAACAATCCTAGACAGGAGTCAGATAAAAGCAGGTATTCCGGATTCGTACACCTCACCAGAAGACCCATCTCCACCCAAGGGACTCGATGATCGCGGCACTAACGAGGGGAATGAGATTCTTGCCTCCGAGCAGTAGAAGAGTGTAGATTCCGAGACGGTACGCTCGCTCATGGAGGAAGAATATCTCTGCAATCGTGGCGCTCGGTAGGCACTCCACAGGACTGACCGCAATCCCTTGCACTATTCGCGCGATGAGGAGAGACACATCTGGTTCGCTGGTTAGCCAGGAGCAAGAGGGGGACCCTATCTATGATCTGTGGCTTACAAGTCGGAGAGGCGGCACACCAAACAGCGGTGAGGGCGAAAATAATAATGGCTGTCAAGTAGACGGGTCTCTTGCCCCACAAGATGGCAGTGGGTGATGTTATTACACTCCCTAGACCGAGACCAAGCATGTAAAGGCCCGTAGTCAAGGCAACTTTAGGGACCGATACATTATATGTGTCCGCTACATTGTTGAATCCAGCTGCCAGTATGGGAGTCATACCACCTCCGATCATACAGTATAGGCCCAGAGAGAGCAACGCAGCATCGCGACGTACCGTCGGCCAATTTAGGGGATCATTGGCCGAGTCGTCAGGCTGAGGAACCAATACGAACTTTCCATCCTTCGACTTCTTTTCGGCTTCTCTGGCTCGGGATGAACGACGGGAACGACGGGAGCTCCTTGAGCGGCTCCTTGTGGGCGTACTCAATGGAGATGGCAAGGAGGAAGACGAATTCCGGGCATGTGCATGCTGTAAGCCCAGCGGCTCGTTACGCTTGTACGTTCGTGAGAGGATGATGACAGAGCCTTGGTGATGTGAGTTATAGTTTTCAAGAGATCCGGCATTTCTTGCTTACCGGGAACCTCGTCAGTCTGAGGATCGGAGAGTATCCCAAGAGTCCATTTCCTAGTGTTTGCTCGATTTTTCTCATTGACGGTGCCGTCGGATGCGGTGGTGCTCGGTGAGTTTTGTGCAGTCTTCTTTGGCAGCCATTTCTTGAGCATGGCGCTTGTTTATCGCTAGACGAGGGGCAGGATATGCCACGATAAGAGGAGAGGACGGCGTGGGCGTGTGTACTGTGTATATAGGTACCTAGGTACGTGACCTGTCCCTGTGAGCACCTCAGTGTGCTTCGAGATTATGGTGGAGACGGGCCGTAGTAGAGCCGAGAGGAAGCAACGGGAGGGACTGTTGTGAGGAGGTGAGACGAAGGAAAGAGAAGTCGTATTGCCTCCGCCGGATGGCTGTGGGCATTTGAAGGCTTCATCTTCTGTCCGCCTTAGAAGGGAACATGTGCGACGATGATGGGCGGACAGTTCTTGGTAAACAATTTGGTGTTGACGTTGCAGGAAGTTGCAGGAAGAGGGTGTTGCGAGTTGCGAGGTGTGAAGCAGCGGTGGGGACCCGGTGATGTCATTTGGTTCAGGTGAAGCAGGTGAAGCTGCCGCGGCTGCCAATTGCAAGTCGGAGTCTCTGGCTCACCGCAAGGATTTGTGGAGACGTCGCATCTCTTGAAGAGGCCGAGGGGAGGCTGACTGACTCTTTCGAGGTTTATCAGGACTCCAGGAGTGATGGGGCAACAAACTCGAGTCACCTGCCCACGATAGACCGTAGATCCATTACAATCCCCCCCAGTTGGAGGCGTCACATGAGGCCATCAGGTTGCAGTCTTGCTGGTCATGAAATGCACAATCTGTTGTTTACTGTGTACTAATTCACTAGCTACCTGTGTGCTCGGTCGCCGGTTTCTCGTGTCCAATGTGTCCAAGCGAGTTAAATCCACCGAATTGAATGGGAGCGCGATATCCGTCCGACTTGCAGGATACTGTGTACCTACGAGGAGTGTGCCTAGGTATGTACGGTATGTACTGTGTAAGGGCCTCTGAAGGCGAAGATCTACAGGATTAAGCTTATCGATAGTGTGCCCATCTATCGTGTACAACAGCAACACGAGCAGAACCTGCGGAACGAGTGCCGAACCCGAGGGCACCAAATCCCAAAAATGTCTGCTTGGCTCTTGTGTTGATCTCTATGCCGATCTCTCTGGCTCTGAATGCACGTCACTCCTGCAAACAAACCTACAACTAACTACTACATACTGTACTCATATCTGTACGTTCGCTGGTACATATGTACACACATATATGATCCGGATACCCGCGCTATCCTCGGTATTCCCACCATGCACCCTGCGGCCAGTTGTGAAGATTTGGCATTCCTTTCAGTACGGCTTCCCACACAGTACTGTTCTTCTCTGCACATCCCCCACGCCCACGGCATGTCCGAGAACGGCCAATCGAAAACCTGCACAGGCCAGCGCTATCTTTGCAGTGTTTGTTAGGTCATTATACTCTGATTTGGAAGAACCGTATTCTGTGGAGCAGTTAAGCTGTTGAACTGGCCGGTGGTGGCTTGCCTTAACATTTATGCTTAAGTGCACTCTGTGGACCGTACATGGTGTTTGTGGACAAAAGGTTGAGATGCATATGGCAAACTGTGCTGATATCTTATTCAGAACTGACCTGAATCCCATCTCACCTCCTTCGTAGAATTATTTGTTCCGTTGGTTTACATGATACGATGTCGACCCACCCATGCTCCTCGAGCCAGACAAGAAGAATTCGGCCCAGCGATATCAACCATTTCCTTGTCGCAAGGTTTGCATCACACTCTTGCTACTCTGTTGCAACTTGCCACTCTGTACAATAACAATAATGACTGCTCATGTGTTACCCCTGACTAACGTTAGACCATCTTAAGTGTACCGTCTCCCGTCATGGCACTACCCAGAGTCACTACCTAGGTATGTACTGGCATGCATCGAACTTTCCACAAGGCCATGTGCTACCAGTCGCATATGCGAAATGACCATCTTTAGGCAACCCATCGGACGAAACTAACTTGACTCTAACGTTCATCGTAGCCTGTGAACCATACGCCAGCATTGAGAAAGGAAGCAGGCTCCCCTGTCGATAAGTTAGTGTGCTGCCGAGACTCGCATGGCGCATTGGTCGTCTCTTTTTTCAACCGTCTTATCGCATACATCATTGGACAACAAGCTGCCTGTGGGAACAGTTCACACAAGACTGCGGCGTCAAGACTCAGGACGTCCTAGGATGTTGGGGCAACCAGCCCCTCTCCTGCCCAATTCCCATCGTGACATTCACTTAGACCATAGTTAGGTGCTTCCATTGCGCGCTGCACACTATAGACGTCTCCCGTGCGGAGCGGTGCCGCAATTTCAGTCTTGCGACGCCACAGGAACAGTGCAAAGGGGGCCCGACGGCTAATGGAGTCTTCATTACGGAGTAGACCGTACAAGTAGTTACAGGAATTATCACAGTCCAACGCGGAGGATTTGGAGACCTTCCAATCCGTCTCACCGGTCACGGCCGAAAGAGGATACGAGATTTCGGGAACTCCTGCCCGCACGACCGGATCAGCCTTAAGAGAGAAAAATCTACCTGGAAACGGAGGGCTAATATTAAGGTGTTCCTTGCGCCGGGCGAAGGAGGGTTTCTTATAGTATCTGCCATGTGAGGGAAGTCTGATGGCTAAGCGAGATTTGATCTCACCATTTGGATAAGGCGTGCAGAGTTGGGCCAGTATCTACTCCGGTACTGTGTACCTACCCTAGTGACTTCTGATTGATGGATGGATGAGGGTGGTCATGGGTAAGAAGAGAGACGAGGGGGAGAGACGCGAGGGATGAATGAGAGATGAGAGATGAGAGAGGAGAGAGATGAGGGAGAGTGAGAGGATCCATCATGCAGGTACAATATAGCGCAGTGCACAGCGTCTCGACCGTTCCATACGCCGTGGCTTGCGTCATTCCCATTCGGGCTAGCCCATCTCAAATCTGGCCAATCACCCTCCATCTGGATATTCACATCCCCTGTCCCCTACACTTGTATCCTCTAACTATACTGTGAGAAATCGCCTCTTCACGATGCCCGCCATCCACCCCCGACAGCCTCTGCCGTATCTGAGTTGGTCCATTCATACACTTTGTCACCTACTTTGGGATCTAGGTACATACCTAAGTGCTCGACTATGCTAGGCAGAAACTGCATGTCAGCCCCCCTCCCAAAAATGCCCCATGTAATAGGTCTAGGTACATACGACGCAGTTGGTGACTGGATGGTTACATAGGTAGTATTTCCCTTTTGCTCTCTCTCTCTTTCTGCTTGACTTTCCCTCCCGTCAGTCTCTCGTCGCTCTTTTCGAGTCCCTACCTAATAGCAAAGCAAGCATTTGCTTGCGTTCTTTCGTTTGAGAATCCTCTCGTCCACAATCTTTACTGGCCTTTTGATTTGGCCGTTCATTCTTTATTAATTTCTAAGTCCACTCCTTAATCGTCTAATATGCGATCCTACGTTCAAGCTGCCACTGCGGCAATTGGGCTTCTTGCCTCCACTGCCTCTGCAGCTTTCAACCCGGCCTCGTCTTCTAACCTTGTTGTTTACTGGGGACAGGGTTCGTACCAGATTGAGCTTTCCGAAGTTTGCAATGACCCTGCTGTGGACATCGTCAACATTGGTTTCGTGAACCAGTTCCCTCGTGCTGTTGGCGACTACCCGGGTTCCAACTTCGCCAACGCTTGCGGCGAACAGTTCTTCAAATACCCCAATGGAACCCAAAGTGCTCTTCGATCGTACTGTCCCGGTATTGCACCAGGTATCAAGGCTTGCCAGGCAAACGGCAAGAAGGTTCTCCTTTCCATCGGTGGCGGATGGCCAACCGATTACTATCTACCAAACAAAGAAGTCGCCGAGTACTTTGCGGAATTTCTCTGGGGAGCGTTTGGTCCTCAAACATCTGCTTGGGTGAACGCTGGAAAGCCCCGTCCTTTTGGTGATGTTTCTGTCGATGGATTTGACCTTGATATCGAGAGCTTCGTGGACCCGGCCCCGTTCCCAACTTACAAGTACGCAAACTACGATAAGTTCGTTACTCACCTCAAGACAAAGCTATTCCCCACGGGACCTTCGACTTACTACATCTCTGGTGCTCCCCAATGTCAGATCCCTGATACTCGTAAGTAGCACTCGTTCTGTTCACGCCTGTGTTACAATCCTGACCCAACCTAGGCCTCTCCGATGCCATCAGCAAGTCCCACTTTGACTTCATCTTCGTCCAGTTCTACAACACCCCTGAGTGCTCTACCCGCGCTGGCTACAATGGACTGGGAAGATCTGACACAAAGTTCACCTTCGATGCCTGGGTCACTGAGCTCAGCAAATCTTTCAACAAGAATGTGAAATTGTACATCGGTATGCCCGCTGGCGTAGATGGCGCCCCCAGTGACCCAACCTCCTATCTGAAGCCAGATGAGGCGAACAAACTCATCAGCTACTACCAAAAGAAGAGCCCCAGCATCTTTGGTGGTGTTATGCTTTGGGAAGCTACCGTTTCTACGCGCAACGCCTTCTGCTCTAAGCCCTACGGTACATGGATCAAGCAGATGTTGACCGGAAAGTACACCAATACTGTCTGCCCCAGCTCTTCGTCCACCATTCGCTCTTCTACCGTCGTGTCGTCTACGACTCGCAGCAGTAGCTCGTCAACCTCAAGCAGCGTCATCACCTCTTCTACCCGGGTCAGCTCATCGGTGTCCTCTACCAGGTCCTCCGTTGTGTCGAGCACTATCTCATCTTCGCGATCTTCTTCGTCCAGCAGCAGCGCTGTCTCATCGACCCGTCCTGCGTCCACTTCCTCGAGCTCGTACGGTGTCAGCAGTTCGTCTTCTTCCAGCAGCACGCGCGGTGTCAGCAGCTCTTCTTCAAGCTCCTCTATTGTGTCAAGCACTGTTTCTTCCTCGAGATCTTCTTCGTTCAGCACAAGCATTGTCTCATCAACTCGCCCTGCATCAACTTCCTCAAGCTCGTACGGCGTCAGCAGCTCTTCGTCGAGCATCTCCTCGTCAAGCAGCTCTTCGTCAAGCAGCTCTTCGTCAAGCAGCTCTTACCCTACCAGCTCTCCATCAAGCAGCTCTTACCCTAGCAGCTCTTCGTCAAGCAGCTCTTCTCCAAGTAGCTCTTCTTCAAGCAACTCTTACCCTAGCAGCTCTTCATCTAGCAGCCCTTCGTCAAGCAGCTCTTCATCTAGCAGGCCTTCTTCAAGCAGCTCCTACCCAAGCAGCTCTTCGTCAAGTGGTTCTTACCCAAGCAGCTCGAGTGTGGTCTCTAGCTCGGTCATCCCTACTAGCAGCGTTGGTGTCAGCTCCGTCTATCCTACGACCGAGTCTAGCTCTGTCTATCCTACAACTGTTTCTAGCTCTGCCTATCCCACCAGCAGTGCTGACACCAGCTCCGTCTATCCTACAACCGAGTCTAGCTCGATCCTGCCAACTACCAGTGTCGATACCAGCTCTGTCTACCCCACAACCGAGTCTAGCTCTGTGTATCCTACCAGCAGCGGTGATGCCAGCTCTGTCTATCCCGTCACTTTGTCTAGCACCGCCAACCCAACGGAAACGCCATCCTCGACGCCATGCACCACCTCTGATGTCGACTATTCCACTATTGCATATTCTACGGGGTTCCCTACCTCGCCTAATGAGTACTCTACCATAGCATACTCCACCGGTTTCCCTACTTCGGCTGATGAGTACTCTACGATTGCATACTCCACCGGTTTCCCTACTTCGGCGGATGAGTACTCTACGATTGCTTACTCCACTGGATTCCCTACCTCGGCTGATGAGTACTCTACGATTGCATATTCTACTGGTTTCCCTACCTCACCTGATGAGTACTCCAGCATTGCATATTCTACTGGGTTCCCCACGTCCGGAGTGTCAAGCGAGACTGAGTACCCTTCGTCAATTGAGACTGATGTTTATCCTACGTCCAGTTCATCCGTAGAGACCCCCGTTTATCCTACGTCCAGCTCGTCCGTGGAGACCCCCGTTTATCCTACATCAAGCTCGTCCGTGGAGACTCCTATTTACCCTACATCAAGCTCGTCTGTAGAGACACCCGTTTACCCTACGTCCAGCTCGTCCGTAGAGACCCCCGTTTACCCTGTGTCCAGCTCGTCCGTGGAAACTCCCGTTTACCCTGCGTCAAGCTCGTCCGTAGAGACCCCTGTTTACCCTACGTCAGGCTCGTCCGTGCAAACTCCCGTCTATCCCGCCTCAAGCTCGTCGGTGAAGACTCCTGTCTATCCCGCCTCAAGCTCGTCCGTGGAGACTCCCGTCTATCCCGTCTATCCCGCCTCAAGCTCATCCGTGAAGACTCCTGACCACTCGACACCGGCACCCTCGTCGACTCCTTGCTCGTCCAGCTCCACCAAGGGACAAGAATATCCCATTTCTAGCTCTTCGCACAAGAGCAATGGAGGATATCCTCACTCGTCGTCCACCAAGGGCTACGTAGAGCCGCCAAAGCCGAGCGCTCCTGCCGAGGGCAACTACCCAGTTTACCCTACCTACCCAGCAGGCAACAAGCCGGAGCACTCCTCCCCAGCTCCTCAACCTACCGGAGAGGGTTACATCCCCGTGAAGCCCGCCGAGCATCCCAAGCCCAGCGCTCCTGTTGAGGATCACTACCCAGTCCATCCTACCTACCCAGCAGGCAGCAAGCCGGAGCACTCTTCTCCAGCCCCTCAGCCCACTGGAGAAGGATATGTTCCCGGAAAGCCTGTCGAACAGTCCCAGCCAAGCGCCCCTGTTGAGGTCAACTACCCAGTCTATCCTACCTACCCAGCAGGCAACAAGCCAGAACCCACCTCTCCGGCTCCTCAACCCACCGGAGAGGGATACGTTCCCGGCAAACCCGTCGAGCAGCCCGAGTACGAGACGATCTCTGCGACCAGCACCGTCTACCAATACGTCACGTTGACCAAGGTCGCCGTGCCGGTTTCGCAGACGCCGGTCTCGCAGACGCCGCCTGCGCCTTACCCCGTGGCACCGCTCAACAACGGCACCAGCGGTACGCCCCCCGTGTACCCGATCGCCAGCGGAACGGGGGCCGGCTCGTACCCGAGCTACACTCCCCCTGCCGAGTTCACCGGCGCAGCCAGCAAGTTGGGCGTCGGCATGAGCGGTCTGGTGGCCATGGTCGCTGGTCTGCTGCTCGTTTTGTAAAACCCTTGCCTTTTTTCGGTTCTTTGGGCCGGGCAATGGCGGGTGTGTTGTCTTGCGATGATGCTCGTTGCTTGGTGGTGGTGCCTTCTCGCTTGTTGGCTGATGGTCTGTCTGCTCTGATTGTTTTATGGATGGATCATTGCCCATGTGTGCAGGAGGATGTATGTATACGAACACGATACTTGATACACGTACTCTTGGGATCTTCTTCGGCTTCTTTGCTTTGCTTTTTGTATTATCCCAATGTTTATCAGAATATAACCTACATAAGAAAAATATATGACCTGTCTATAGTTGTCATCATTCCCGGTATTGCTTTTCGCTGTTCATCATTGTGCATGTGTCTATGCATGGAGGAGAGGGAGGGGGGCGGGTTCGAGATGTGTTTTCAAGGTCGAGGTCAATGATACTGTACACTATGTCGTCGTGATGGTTTGGTAAGACGTGAAAGAATCGGTGACCAAATTGGAGACATCTACGGAGTACGCAGTGCACAGTACAACCCACAGCATGTAGGGGAGAGGCGGCGTGTCGGTCCCGAGTCGCAATGGAGATTCGGTAACTTGGAACAATGAAGAGGGAAAGCGCCGAAGTGGAGATCTATTTGGAATTACGAATGGATGGAAGTCATGGAGTCATGGAGGCATGGAGGCATGGAGGCATGGAGTCAAGGATCTGGAATGATGAAGATGGTACTCCGTACTGAATGTGCTGTGCAGCTTTGTGCGTTGCATTGTGTGTTACCCATACCCGAGTGCCTACCTAGGTAGGTACATAGTTACCTAGTTACTGATATGTGTTGAACTACAAGATAGGTAGGGAGGCAAGTAGACGATCGCGCGTCTGGCGCATATATTATATTTAAGTATCATGTAAATGCGCAAGTGCATCTACTGGGTGGGAAGGACATTGGCTGGTACTTTGGACTGCATGCATGCATTGTGCCTCCGTATGCTGGTGAGGTGTTTAGGAAGGTTGTACACATGCGGAGGACGAAGCTGTAGTTACTACTATACTGTATGGAGTACTCCGTACATGAAGGAAGGAAGGAGGGTTCATTACACAGTGTAAAGGGAGACGACGGGTGAGAGACGAATCGAAGCGCTTCATCCGCCATCCAATCAGGTGTCCCGTATTTTCTTTTGGGTCAATACACAGTATTAGTCTGGAGCGTGGCGATTGAGTGAGCACTGAATGTTGGATGGAATGAATGATGACGGAGGTGACAGGGCGTAGTGGGGGTGGAGAGAGAGAGACAGAGAGAGAGAGAGAGAGAGAGAGAGAGAGAGAGAGAGAGAGAGTATGTAGAGCTCGTGAATGTGTGTGTATGGTTAGTATGGTGAGCGTGAATGGGAGTGTAAAAAAGTTCGTGTATTGTTCTGCAGACGTTTTGGTGAAAGCAGATGTGACCGACATGGATCCTCACTCCAGGCCCAGCTCTCTACTCCTGCTCATGTCGCCCTCCGCTCTCTAGAAGAGAACTCCTGCCTGTTCCCGTCCCATCCGTTCCCCTGGAAAGGGTGTAACTATGGACATATCGTACTCGGTACTTTTGTACCGTGCATGTTCACTTCTCCTTCGTCAGTTTCCATACCACGCCATGCAATGCCATGCGACTTTCACGATGGTCGAACTCAAGACCAGCGGAATGTGTTGCCCCTCGGTCGGTAGCGCTTCGATGACGCCTGGCGAACGCGTCGTCCGGCTGGCAATGGCGGGCGATGATGTTGTTTTTCCTGGCAATACCTGCAATACCTGGCAGAGCTGGCAGAGCTGGCAGAGCTGGCAGACCTGACCCATTTTCCCTGGATTGGGACATTGGGACGTCGGCTAGACAAGAAAGCGACATGGATTCATGCACAGTGAGGTGGCATGCGCAAGACCGAATTCCGCGACGCCGACATGACGAGGCGACGAGGCTACGGCGATGACAGCGAATGAATGAAGGGACGAACGGCAATGTTGATGATGGCTGCTGGCTTGATTGAATGATTCTGGATGATGCTGATGGGTCCTATGCACCAGCCTCCTCTCTCTGTCTCTCTTGATCCGCCTTTCGCTTCTCGCTTCTCGGATCTCCCTCCTCTCGTTCGAGTATGAGTAGGTAATTGGAGAAGAATGAAGTCACTGAATTGATTCGTCGCGTCTTTGACTACTGACTACTGCTTGGGAGGTATTATCTAGTTCTGATGCAGGTGCCGGTCCTGGTGTTGGTACAGTTCTGCTACTCCTGCGCATCCCTTGAACGTGCAGGACGCCGCCGCACATTGGAATTTCTAGAGTTCAAACTGTGGACATTAATGCTGGCAACTAATCAATCCATTGCCCTTTTCAAAGAAGACAAGGACAGACCTGACTGCTTATTTTTCCCGGAGTAATTCCCCTCAACTACCGTTCGTTGGTGCGGTCAAGGTGATTCTACGGAGTACTTACTGCGATACCTCGTACACCTACCTACTACCTACCTATACCCACACTGCACCCTTCTTCCCCCACAACTCGAAGCAAATCGTCTTGAAGCAACAAGACTCCACTCCTCTGCGCATCATCCTGTGGGAGCATGCATGCTCTGTAATTGCCAATTGAATTGTCTCATTTCTCCATCATCAATCCACTCGTTCATTGCATCTGCGCAGCCTCGAGGTCCCGTTGTGGCGGTTCATCCTTCAACAACAACGACGACAACACCGACGACACCGACGACACCGACAACAAGGCACACGTGGTGACGAACCCCCCATCCGGCAGCTACCCGTCAAGCAACCACCCGCCTCGTTCCTCATCTTTGCATGCTCGAGCAGCAGCGGTCAACCGCCAGCGCATACGAATTGAATTGAACAGAAACTCCGCGATCGTAGACGCGTCCACGTCGGTTTATCTTGCCACGGTATGACTGGTCCGAGTGGTGCTCAATTTATTGCTGGCGTGAGTCGTGATGCGGAATCCATACTGCTTTTTCTTCCTTCTCCATGTTCCCAGCCCCCGAATTTGTCTTCTTCACTATTACCTAGTTACTACCTCCTATAGGCGCAGGCACAGTGGCACTCTCATAGGCACTCTCATAGGCACTGCACAAGTACTGCACTGCACAAGTACTGCACTGCACTGCACGGGTATTGGCACGCGCCTACCTCACCTTCCCCAACCTCTTCCCTCACGTCGCCCCCAACCACCTCCATTCACCTTCATTCGTACCACCACAACACCACACTCCTCCCTCTCTACCACCTCACATTCTATCCTTTCTTTCTCTCCCTACCGCGTTACTGGCGACAATGTCTCTGCTCCCCTGCCATCCATCCCATCTAATCTTTACGGCAGCACCAGGCATTGCAACATCCTTCCTCTACCATCTATCCCGCTAGTCTCCCCGCCGCGACCGCATCATTACCATCATCAACACTACTACCACCGCCATCTACACTCGCTACAGCTCCAGCTCCAGCCAACTCCTCAAGCCTCACCTACATACCCCCTCCCCCCGGTGCATCCCTCTCTCCGCCACCCGAGGGTTCAATTGCCTCGTCGTAGCAATTTGCCGGGCCCGACGCGGGAGTCACCTTGACGTCCTCGGGCCCTCCAGAGCTCAGCAACCTGTTGCCCTTCGCGACTCCGCTTGACGAGACCCACGACCGTAACGAACGAACATACACGACATCTCTGCAGCAACGTCAGCAGCAGGCTGCCGAGTTCTATCGCTCCCAGCACAACCACTCGCGAGTCTCGAGTTCGTCTGGCAGTCAAACCACCCTCAGGCGCACCCCCAACTTCGAAGACCTCTCCAGGGCCAGGTCCGCATCAATTGAACCCCCTGCACCCGATCCACCACCACAGCCACGCGGTGTACGTTTCGCGCCCACTCCCGCCGAACAATTACGCTCTCCACCCCATCCCGCCCTACGGATCTCGCGCAGGACTGCATCTGCCATACATTGGGTGTTGGAGGAGGCCATCCGCGTTCCTGTTCCCTTCACCCCGGTGCTCGAGGAAGAGAACGCGCAAATGTCAGACCTGACGGGAGGCGGCAACGGCAACGGCAACGGCAACGGCCGCGCTGCCAATGGCAGTGCGCGCACCACGGCCGGTCCCGTGCCTGTCTCTCAATCGGACCGTTCCAATATCCGCACTCCCCAGATGATCATGAACCAACGGCGCGAACGCGAAGCGGCGCGCCGCCGAGAGACCGAGGCGGACGCTGCCCGCGTCGCCGAGGAACAGCGCAAAGCAGAAGAGGAGCGCAGGCGGAGTGCGGAACGTAGAGCTCAGGCTATTAGCGTAGCTGGCGCACCCGCGCCTACCGACAATGCCGGTGCTCCCAGGAGGGCTGCACAGAGCGCGCCCTTGCAACCTGGCGAAAGTCAATACTCACAATACCCCCCTACGTCGGGGCCAGGAGTGCCGAGACAGCCAGAGAGACAGGTGCCTCCTCAGTCTGGCGGCCCTGTGAATCCGCCCACCTCGAGTCAACATCCAGACACAACGTCAGGTGCACAGTACGGCCGACCTAGGGCTCGCTCACAAACTCAGCAACAATCCCAATCTGCGCCCGGATTTCAAAACAATCCAGGAGCCTCCGACTCAAGAAGGCCACCTCCTACCCAGCATGCAAGACGTCCGTCCGCGCAAGCTGGCTCATCTCAGGCTGGCCCTTCGACAGTCCCACCTGCGCCGGGTCTACCACCTGCTGGCTCGTTAGCTGGATCTCAGCAGCGCGGATCGACCACATCGACATTTCCCCATGCCTTTGAGCGGTGGGAGAATCTATCGTCGCACTGGGAAGGCCTGACTTCGTACTGGATTCGCAAACTGGAGCAGAATGCGGAAGAGGTTCGCAGAGACGCCCTGTCCCAGCAGATGTCGCGCCAGATCACAGACCTTTCCGCTGCTGGCGCGAATCTGTTCCACGCGGTGGTCGAACTGCAACGTCTGCGTGCATCTTCAGAACGTAAGTTCCAGAGATGGTTCTACGAGCACCGGCAGGATCAGGAGCGGGCGCAGGAGAGAGAGGCACAGTTGGACCACACCATCAGGGTGGAACGTGAAGCTCGTGCCAACGCCGTGACAGACATGGAGCGCATGGCCACAGAGAAGAAGAATGCCGAGCGCATGGTGGCTGAGATGAAACGAGAGCTTCAAATATCGAAAGAGGAAGCCCGCAGAGCATGGGAAGAGTTGGGACGTCGGGAACAGGAAGAGCGCGATCGCACCTTCTCCCTACGGGAAGGCCAACCGACCTTGGTAGGAGGTGTGCAGGTCGTTCCGATGGCGGCACAAGGGATCGGCCGGCAGGATAGTGTATCACAGCGGCAACAAGGCGGCGACGACAGTTTTGCGGTGGGCCAACTGATCGAAGGCCAGTATTCCTACGAGGAGGGCCATTCGCCAACAGACACCGACCCCTTCACTGAGGGAGCACGCCGTGGCACGCCTCAAAGATTTGAACCCGAGCATTCATCACTCGCCCAAGGGGCATACGTTCCCAGTGGCGCATCGGCAAGCACCCGTCCTGGTGCAACCTCGCAACCAACCGAACAGGCTCAAGCACCCGCTCCGTCGCACCCTGAGCATCCAACTTCAACTGCTGGACAACAGGCTCCTATTGTATCCACGTCCAGACCGGAGGCATTCTATCAGCAACCTGAAGCCTACCTGCACCGAGAGAGTGTCGCCAGTGTTCCCGAGGATGTGCGGTCGTACGTGACGTCACAGCCATCAGAGATCTCTGACCCTGATGAGGAATATGCCTACGATCACAATGGCAACTACATACTGGATGAATCCGGGCACCGCATTCCATTCAGGGATCTCCGCGAGCGAGACTCAGACGAGTACGATGTGCAAGAAGATCGTCGCCGCGAGCTTGAGCATCTTCAACGGTATGGCACAGCTCCCCAGGGTACCAGCAGCTATGCAACCACCTCAAGCGCCGGCCCTTCTCATCCACAATCGTACCCCACTGCGAACGCCCCCGACTATAGTGGCGAAGGTTACGGCGAAGAATGGGAAGGGATGCGACACCATCATCCAACTCGATTGAGCGACGTCCTGGAAGAGGATGAGCGCAGTCGAACATCTCCGAGCAGAGCCAGTCAGGCCTCTCGGGGAATATTCTGATTGAAGTGATCACTTCACATGAATTCATTTCATGGAGCAACTCAATGCAGAAGGATTCCTCGGTTTCGATTTCGATTTCAGTCGTCCAGCTACTTCGGTTCCCGCCGTAGCTTGTATTGTTTTTCCAATACCCTACCGTCAAAATTCTCACAACCTTTGACTGTACTTTCAACTCATTACTCATCGTAACTCTCGAAATGATCACAACCCTTTGCAGCTTCGCTGTATTATACTTGCATTCTCCGTTCGCGTATGGAGCATATTTACGTTTCACTTGCACATAAACACACTAATGCCTGCATCAACGCCACTTGATTGATTGCTGGATAGGCACGGTCGATCAACCTGGCAGTAATACCCACCTTTGTTTCATCAAATCCGGCGACAGCTCCCTTCCTCGAGGTGAAATGTCGACGACAACCTATCAACACTCGAAAAAAAAGGTTCTTAGATGCGAGACACATACTGCGAGATTCTCCTTTCGAATGATACGCCTCCAATAGCATCCTCGATTGCAAGATACCCCAAGAACAAATCAGCCGTAATCTACCCAGCTTGCATACACGGGAACAAGAGGATCTCTGTCACCCAATCATTGCCCACACTTCTTTCCGGATCCTCTACCTTTAATTTACCCAACTCTTCCTCCTTGTACTAGTACGCATATCATCTCGGTTCTTTCTTTTCCTTTCTCTCTTCACAAAGCATGGTGTTCATCGGGCATGGTTTTGATCGTTTTATCATACTTTCTGGTTTTAAATTGGGAAGGAAAGGGGTTTGGTGGGAACATGGGATTGGACTTGCCCCGGCTGGATGGGTGCTCGCAGTTTTTCAAGACTTTAAGAGAGCAAGAGAGGGGGAAAAGACGGGGTGGTGCATGGGTGGTCGGGCAGCATGTATGTTGGATTGGCTCCCCAGTCATCATAATATCAATTGATAAAACATGGGTTCATCATCGGTATCACATTCGAGACTCAAGACATGCCGTGCCTCAATGTTGATTGTGCAGTCCAATACTGACCTTCCTATCGGGTTTCGTTTCCTCGATGTCTAAGGTATTCTGTTATTCGAAGTGTTGGCCAAGCTCATGCGATAAATTCTGCTTGGTGATTGGAGCGGACATTCGGGTCATGGTGACCTGGCAGCGACATTGATTGGCAGGCGCTCTGGTCCTTCAAATTCATGAGTTAAATTCATGAGTTTTCAACGGAGATTCGATAACTTACTGGATTAGGCAAGTTGGACTCTGGCCTCCCCGAGGAAATCCGCGCAACGCCCTTCACGCTAATCCGATCTTGGAACCAAAGCATCCGCAGCGAATCAGTCGATATCAAAGAATGCAAATCACTGCCATTTCCTGAACCCGCGCGCCAATCAACAATTGGAGCGGACGGGTAATCTAGCCATGGTTCTGCACCGAACAAATCCGCGTCGCATGGTTCGACCTTTGCCTATCCAGCGTGCCAGCTTCGCATTCGAGCCTCGCCGCGTGGAGTTCTCCTCCTCCGCAATCTCTACTTTGTAGAAATGCGAGCAAGCACTGCCAACATTACATTCCCCTTTCGACTCTCTTCAGAGCGTCCCATTGTTTATCGTTTCCTCAGCTATGGAGTACTATGAAAGGAAATCAAATCATGAAGCTGATACACTACCTCACCCAATACCAATACCCAAGCGCCGTGCCCAAACATGCAACCCCAAGCGCTTAACTCTACCCACCCTCACAGCTCACTCGCCCCCAAATGGCCCCCCAACCCACCCAATCACATCACGCACCCCCGAACCGCAACATCCTTACCACACAGAATAGTAGTGACAGCACCACCACACTACCCTCTATCGAAAACGTTTCAGCGCTGCAGAGCATGCGACGATAGCGACTGACGGGCGGCGGCAAATGCGGCACAGCAGCCAGCACCCAACCTAAGAGAGGATGGAAGAGGGAAGCAAAAAAGGTACGAGCAGTTCGCAGCGTGCGAACCTATTTCTCCGATTCCTCCTCTTCCACCCTCTCTCCAATCCCTTTTCCTTTCGTCTAAAGTTTGTTTTACGTCCATTTTTTTTTTCTCTCCTCACGTTCTCGGATTTCGGGTTTGCCATTGTGGGCAGGAGGAATTGGCTGGAGGTCGTTGCTGGCGCGTTACGCACTCGTGCATTGTACGCATTCACCCACGTGTTGAACCGAATACCTACCGTGAGGTTCGAGAAAGAGATATTGTATCAGGGAATCGGCATGAGGGGGATGTTCGGCAGATTCTGGGAGAAGAGGAGGAAGCGAGGTAGCGTGGAAGTACGACCGGCGGATGTGGACGCCTCAGCGGCCGGCATTGAAGAGCAGGGCCGGAATATAAAGTCGAAGACTTGGGCGACGAGTGTCTCGCGGGTGGAGAGTTGGCCTGTCGAGGCGAGGCCGCTGAAGCAACACACCTGGATATCGTACCTCTATCTGTTCTTCGACGCCGTGTTGGTCTTGTTGCCGGTGTTCTTCATACTTCTCAGCATCGCCGTCATCACGCTCGATGGGAAACCGACGAAAGGGAATGATCTTGGGAAGAAGGTCGAGTTTGTCATTGATCTGGGCCCGACCATCTTTCCCATCGTGTTTGCGGCTGTGAGCGGGAGGAGCATGAAGATGATAGCGCGGTTTTTGGCGGAACGAGGTGCTAAGATCAGTGTAAGGAAGCACTCAGTCTGCGCACATGATATGCACTACGATTGCTAATATCATGCAGACTTTAGAGCTCCTTATGGCAAGTCAATCCGTCTGGGGTACTCTTGAAAGTCAACTGTTGATGCAACGGGCTACCTTGGTTGGCGTCAATCTGCTCTTCCTTTGGGCGTTGTCGCCTTTGGGCGGCCAGGCATCGTTAAGACTTATGAAGAGGGGTTCTCAAGAGGCGCAAACATGGACAAAACTTCGATATATGACTTCAGGCCCAGGAGCGACAATGTGGGGTTTGGCAACCACGTACGAAGATGGCGGCAAATTCTTTGATACCAAGGGTCTTTTCACTGCAGCATTGTTGGCACCACTGGATGCCAAAATTGGCCCTCGAGATCCATGGGGAAATGTTAAGATTCCCAGCTTGGAATCCTTAAGTGGCAGTGAGAATGATTCCAGTGAATGGCTCAACGTCCCCGCCAACCTAACAACGCCCGAGTCATATGCTTCCCTTGTCGGCCTACCAATCATTGGACTGCCCCGAGATCCAACTTCCTTTAGCATGGAATATACCTACCTCACTGTTTCCTGTGGCAATTTTAGCCAAACCCCTTTAGAAGAGCCAATTGAGCCGGGGCGCTGGCAATTAGATGCCAATTGGACTCAGGTGGAAAAGCTAGCGCCAGGATACATTTGGAGCAACAAAACTGCCTCACCACCCTGGGGCTACAATCCGGAAGGTATCAAACGCATGACCACCTTTTTCATCGATGCCACAATCCCAAACAATTGGGAGACCATGGACAATGGCAGATTCGATGCGTTTGTGGGTTTCAGGAATCAAACTCTTCTCCCAGATGAGAGCCTTCGACAACCACGCAAAATTTTGTACGCCTCAAAGTTTGCAATAAACCCCGACGGTAACGACTTCCGATTGAACATCGGATCTTGCGAACTAGGCCAGCAACATGTAGAAGCGATGGTTGGCTGCCAAGGCAGCGAGTGCAGAGCGAGCAAAATCAGGAAATCATTGACTGACACACGCTCGCTCTCGGTGACAGGCCTCGACCATCCTTTGATCATGAGTAGTATAGCCCAACAATTTCCCGTCACGATCGACTCGCAATCAATGTCAAGTCCCATTGAAAGGTTTCTCGCCGACTCGCTCTCCATGCCCTTCCTTCAGCAAGTTGGGTTCTCCAACAGAACCTTGGCATATGTCGATGTATCAAAGATTCCTTTAGCAACCTTCTCCAAAAGGTTAAGCCTGGTCATGAACACCTACTATCAACTCAGCATGCAGCCCACGGGTTACTTTGGAAGTCTACCAACAAATCTATCTCTTCATGGCCCTGATACCTTGCCAGTCACCGATATCGATGCGTACCTGCCACCGGACCAGGCTGCCACGAAGAACTCTTTCTCCGAGTGGTGGCAAACATTTTCTGCGGTGGCACTGGGTTCAAAAGCCCCCTTCATAGGAGCAACCGCAAATGCCACAGTGACATCGACCGAGGAGATCTTTGTTTGCAATTACGCTTGGCTGGCCTTGCTGTGGACGTCTTCAAGTATTTTGTTTCTGACTGGAAGTGTGGCCCTGGTCTTGAAACGCAAAACACTTGGGCCCGAGATGTTCGGCTTTGTCTCAAGTATGACATATGAAAACCCTTGGGTAAAGATTCCTAGTGGCGGAAGCATGCTTGATGCCATGGAACGATCAAGATTATTACGCGATGTGAAGGTGTGCATTGGTGATGTCCACGGGAACGAGGATGAGGGTCACATCGCCCTTGCAGCTGGGGTACCGTTGCGGAAATTAGAGAGAGGACGACGCTATGCATGAAATACTGCTCATACTCCAATCAAGCAAGCACAGCTTGTACTGTCAGCCATGTTCGCTCGCCTCTAACATCCTGTTCAATGTAACATAACTGCTCGACTTAGAGTAAGGTTGGCACAGTTGAAAGCGAAACATCAGACAGGCCATCATTTGGCATAATGGGAGGGAAGAAAACAGCCTAACAATTTCCCAATCGAAGCAAAGCAAGAACGGCAGACAATCGAAGTTGTGAACGACTACCGCGCGAAAGTTCGTTTCTGAACATGCGTCACATGAACGACAACATCAACGTCAACCACCACAGACTTTGCTTGAATCGTTAGCTCGAGTCACAGCGCTTCAAATACAGCCAGTTGCATGCATAGCATTCAAAATACGGTGACTAGCCCGGAGGCGCTGGCTGGACCTTACGCAAGAGGCTCTAGATACCTATGGCTTGCATTGACTGAGCGGGTGTGGAGATCAGTATGGGAGCATCAAAACGACAGCGCAGAAGAGAAGGTAGTATGGAGTACTTCCAGCCAACCAGCAGTGCTAAACCGGGATGCAGGAGTCGGAGGTGCGACGAAGCGTGACACAGGGGTTCTGACCACCACCCGGGCCGCACAAGCGAGTTTCCTCTCCGCCCAATGGCCGACCGTACGGGCCTAGAAACGAAACCCCCTATGGACGCGACGCGATTACACAATACAGGGAACACTCTTTCAACTCTGCGGCATCTCCGTCTGCCGTCAGGTACCTGTGATTAAGATGTTCAGACAATGACACCCTCTCCTTGTCAGATGTTCCTGATTGGCACTCTATTGCACTGGGCGATCTTGACAGGCCTCCCGTTTCACCCATTAACGCTCGCCATTGTGGGGCCCTACGAAGGTACTGCGATGACTCTGTTTGGCTCTCGGACGGTGTTTGATGAAACTGTTTTCCAGATTGAGGGATCGTTAAGGTACAGGCGGGCGAAGGGTATGACTGCGCATAGATCGTCGTGGGGAGATATATAAATCTCTTTGAATTCGATCAGCTTATGTCTAGCCATCACAACACATTCATTCAGCCTTTTGCCTTTTGCACTTCCTACCTTTTTTTTCTAGCTGGACTAGGCTTTTTTCTTCCGTTCATCCACTCCTTGATTCACTGGTTGTTGCACGACCAATTACTGCGCATTTCACGATGTCTCTCCGCAATTCTTTGGTGGCAGCTTCTGCCTTTTTGGCTTCAGTCAATGCCCACATGATTATGAAATCTCCCGTCCCTTACAGTGCGGATAAGGTCGACAGCGCTCCTATTACTGCTGCACAGTTCCCTTGCAAATCTAACTTGGGATTCACTGTCTCTACTATGAACAATATGGCTGTTGGCGAAAAGCAGACGCTCAGTTTTACAGGCACTGCTGTCCATGGCGGTGGATCTTGTCAGTTGTCTGTAACTACCGACACTGAGCCAAACGCCAATTCGAAGTTCAAAGTCATCAAGTCTATCGAAGGTGGTTGCCCTGGTGTCAATGAACAAGTAAACACATACGACTTTGAACTCCCGGATTCCATTCCCAATGGCAAAGCTACATTTGCATGGACTTGGTTTGCAAAGTTGAGCGGCGGCCCAGAGATGTACATGAATTGTGCCCCTATTGAAGTTACTGGCGGCGCCAGTGACACTTCGAAGTTTGATGAGCTACCGGACATGCTCGTCGCCAATCTTGGCCAAGCAACCACTTGCAAGAGTCCCGAGAACAAGGCCCTTAAGTTCCCCAACCCTGGATCCAACCTCCAAAATGGTGGAACCAACGACATTCTCGACCCCACTGGTGAATGCGGCACATCAGGAACCACACCTCCTCAAGAGGGTAACCCATCGTCTGCTCCTGCTGCACAGCCCTCATCTCCAGCAACTCCCGAAATCCCAATCCCTACTGGCTCTGCACCTGCGATCGCCCCTACTGCTGTATATCCTACTGGCGACGTCTCTACGGTTTTGCCTACCACCAACCCAGGTGGAATCTTCGCTCCTAGTGCGTCCAGCGCTGCACCACTTACCTCGACCCAGACGACACTCGTCACCGTCACTGCTAAGCCATCAGTTCCTGGAGCTGGCCCAACTCAGCCATCGATATCTACTCCAGCCGGCACTGGCAACACTCCTACGCCCACCGGGCCATCCGCACCTGGCGGTGGCTCGGGCACCTGCAGCGAAGAGGGTTCAATTGTCTGCAATGGGCCTGATCAATTCGGGCTTTGCAACCACGGCCAAGTCGTATGGCAGCAGGTAGCAGCCGGAACCACTTGCTCCAACGGATCTATCACAAAGCGAGGCTACTATGGCCGCATCGCACGCCCTCGTTGGGTGGTTGTTGATTCCACCGATAACTAAGTCGTCTGGTAAAACAGACAACTAGTTTACATTCATTTGATAACAACCTGTACATTCTGGAATCTGTCGCAACCCGGCAGTTGTTGATCATCTGAGCACTTTACCTTCTGATTTATAGGTCTGAGACCGGCTTGGTGTATATTTTCAACCATTTCTTTTATTATATATTTTCATTTGCTCACGCTCAAAGTTCTCTTTGCATATCAGGCGTTCTGGAGGAATATCAGGTGTGCACGGGGCATTCTATATAGAGCTCATATACCACAGTTTCAATTCAAACATGTTTAACCCTCAATTATAATTCAATCTTTGCGAAACATGAAGACCTCCCTGCTTATGCAGATCGTTCAGTCAGCCATGTATGCCTCCCTCGTTTTCCATCGACATGCGCACGTCAGTGCCTGTCTTGCCAATTTTTGACACTGCAACTGCCTGCCTTGGTTTCTTGACGGTTCCGTAAAATACCACCTACTGCATGCGGACATTGGGTGCCGTGGACTTTACCAACCCCTGTTCCCGTTCCTTCTTACGACGATCACCAGAGAATATTGAATTTCACCTCTGCACACCGAAATTGCAGTGCACATTGCCTGCGATCTACTGGCAAAGAATGGCGCAAGCTCTCTATCGTTTCAGATCTTCACATGAACATCCCAGTATTCTCATTGGCTCGCTCATCCTCACGATGTGATCTTCGCGAGGTCAGTCCCATCCGACCGATCCCACATGCGGATCCTGAAACAGGATAAAGTAGGGTCCGGTCCACCTTTTTGGGGCCTGGAAGAGTGTCGCATTGACATGACTGACGGGATACTGCTGGTCGCGATTGACTTGCTGAGGCTAGAAAGAGCTTCGCCAAAAAAAGATACTAGCTAACTAATATTCCGTTTTGTGGAGCAGTGGGTGCACCTCAGCCACAGCGCTTGCGTGCGTGCATGAAGATCGATTGCCACGCGAATACGGGATGACCTGGGGACCATTGGTTTGGGCCAGAGCATTTGCGCACATTTTCTGTTGAAGTCAGAGGTCAGAACACTACAATGCCTGGCTTTTGACCTTGACCATCCTTTCCGCTGTCCTACACAGTGGATGCCCCCCTGAAGACCCAACGCTTCCCTCGACCTGCCAAATCAACGATCGCCACGCAGCGACAAATAAAAAACAGAGTGTCTCAATTCGGAGAAGCCAGCACCCCATCACGAATGAATGAAAGCAACCAGACTCCATATCTGATTACCCAAAACTTGACCTGACGTCGTCTTTGGCTTTCTTCCACGCTGACCGTGCCGCAAATAACCTGGCTTATTTTTAGCCAATCCCCGGCTTGCGATACCTTCTCTCAGGGGTTAAGTTATTCCCGTCACGAACATATGGCTTCATCTTTCATACATCACATGTGATTCATTGTTTTATGGATAAAGAGTTCATGGAGAAAAGTGTCGTCATCCGTGCGTGGGGTTCTACAATGCGCATATAAATTAACAATAGCACCATGTTACTTTGTGGGGCATAGTCTCATCTCATTATTGTAGTTGCTGCATTTTCTGATATGCCGACGTTGGGCGAGTATATTGAATTTATGAAAACATGTGTTTTCTATTTGGCCATGTTGTTCGACGCTCAATATCGTTTTTGAAGTGTTGCCGTTCGTGCGGCGGACGGATTGTGAAGCTGTGACTTTTGGAATGTGACATGGAATTCACCATCCTCTCTGAACAGCGGGAACCTTTCAATTGTACGGATAGATCAACCTCATCTTAGCAGCCTAAGCATTCCATCAGCGCTCTACGTGATGCTTTCCATTGGACTCCCTAGACAGCACTCCCGAGAAATACTCCCATTAGATAGTATCTAACTTAGCCACGGATTCTCCGGTTAACTGCTCAATTGAGTCATCGATCTGACCACCCTTCTGCCCACTGCTCAAATCAAAGCCGCTTAATGCAAACCCCTCATCGTCGACAAATTTTATGACCTCCCTAAGCGCTCTACCACTGCAGTCGATGTGTTCACAGAAACAATCGCGCCACGCCCAAGCTCGGCCGTCGTCGTCATACACTATGGATTTCATAGATGCGTCGAGGTATTCGAGGTCTGCTCCATCGTCATCGAGAGTGGTGTGGAAGGCTTGGGGAGCATGGGCCGGAGAGGAGGTGGGAGATGATGGCGGAGACGGGGACTGGGATAGAGCTGCAGAGCGCGGTGTGGATGTGCTAGCCGAGGGGCTTTTTTCGGTGTTGTGGCGGGGCATGACGTGCGATTGCATTGGAGTGTGGTTGTATATGATTAGAACGTAGTAATTACCAGGTATATGTTCTCGAGAACGCCGTTCTGAAGTAAAGTCTTCTGTGAAAGTAGGCATTCGTGGATTCTTTGGAACGAACGGTCGCCTGGCTTTGTTAACCTGAATAACAGGAGGCAAGACAGGAGCTGTGAATAACCAATGCTTCAACATAATGCGTGACAAAATAACTTTCTCTTAGATTGAAGTTCGTAGCTCATCTATACTGGTTCATAGTTATTGCATGGCCATCCATTGATATACCAGTGTCAATAGAGAGAAAGTATTGAATTGATATACAAAATATGTGAAAGTGGGCAACATGAACAGAGAGATTCGTAAATGGGTATAAACATAGGAGATAACTTATACAGGTCACCGCAAAAACCAAAGGAATTTATGTTTGTTCAAAAGGGCGTTTTGTGCTTTGAACGGGGCGAGGGAAAGTCGAACATTGCCGTATGCCCGAGATTGGCTTCTTTCGAATCCAGTTCAGAAGTAATGAGGGTATGGTGGCTCTAATGGCGCCAGAAACTTTTTCGCTTCTCCTTCTTCCTGGCTTTCTCTAATCTGCCGACTACTTCGACCATGTCAATCTGTGGTGCTTTCTTGATCGGTGGTGGTATCGCATGAAGAGCGGCGCGATCGCGGTCGATGTCTAACTTGGTCGACTGTCCCTGAGACCTCTCTGTATGTTGTCGAGATGGCCGCGATTTCGTGGTAAATATGTCTCGAAGATTCTCAGTTTTGCTGGAAAGGAGAGATGATGTTCGAGTGGGTGGAGTGGGAGGCTGCATTTGAAGCGGCGTAGGAGTCGTGACCTGGTCAGAAGAAGTGGCCTTCGACATAGCCTTAGGTCTGCGACCATACTTTATTTCAACGCCTAAAAGCTGGTTCGGAACTGGAGGCTTGGGGGGATTTATACGGGCTTTTGGACCAGCCAGGGCAATGCCAATGGAGGAACCATGGACCAGCGAAGTAGAGCCGACTGGGGATTCAGAATCTCTATCTTTCTGTTCATTGCTGTGGAAGCTGAAGCGAAACCCATCATTGTGGGGTCGTGGTGCTGGTGTGCGGGTTTTTGAAGGGGTTTCATCTGGAGTCGTCACTGGTGACGCATCGACCGAAACGAGACCTCCCAGCAACCCACTTACTTCTGCACTACTGCATCGTCGTTCTAAAGGCACACATTCTCCGGTAGCGCTCGACTTTGACGATGCCGAACTCGCGCCATCGCTCCAGAAGGGACTATCTCGCGAGGTCGCGCTCTCTGAAGAGTCACGGGGCTCGTTCAGTTCAGCAGAGACAAAGGGGTTGACTAGCTGATCTACCTGGAATGATTCCAGCACGGGGGTACGCGTCTGCACCGGGACAGCGGAGCAATTGAGATCCAAAGCGATTGGTCTTTTCGAACGGCCGCGAGTCTCTGATGTTCCTGATCGCAGCCATGAAGTGCCCAAACCAGACTCTTCAGGGCCGGCCGATCTTGATGCTCGTTGCGACCGATCCAATGATTGGCCACGCGACATGGGTCGAGATGGAGGATCGACAATGGCGGGGTTGAGACCATTGCCGAATCCATGTACAATGATCTCACAATAAGGTTGGGAATTCGTACTCGCAAGACTGTTCCTCCTTGAGCCTCTTCCGGGTAGCGAAAGGTTACGCAATGAGCGTGCCGATGTGTTACGTGCAACGCCAGATGAGACCCTGAGAGGGGCTGGAACCTCTACAGACACTGGGCGGCTAGAAGTAGCTGTCGCATTGGGGTTTGTGTGTGTGAAATAGTCATCACTCTGACAATCGGGCTTGATAGTCATCGCTCCAGATATTTCCCATGATGCAGGCTGATCTGTGAGACAGCTGTCCGGGTTTCCACCCATCTTGTCTTTTGCGTTCTGACTGGTACTACCACCGCAAGAGTCAACGGCTCTAGATGCAGATTGCCAGGGCGAAGATTCCGTTACAAGACAGCAGAGTGGATATTCTGGGCTCTCGGGATCGCGTACTTCTTTGGGGGCCTGCACTGCGGAGATCAAGTATTGCAAAGTGCCATAGATGAGCAGCCAGCGTACTTTCCGAGCATCTGCTATTGTCACCTTCTCTTCGCGTTGGTGCTTAGCGACGCATTGTCGTTCGAAACGCATGTACGCTTGCACAATGGCCGAGGTAGCGATCGGTTCTGTGACATTGGTCGCTGCCGCGAGTGTAGCATGTGCTGTCAGATAACGATCCGTCTTGGACTGCTTGGAGGCAAGAGCGAGTGTCATCAAGGCCTTCTGGGACGGAGTCTTCCTATCCCAATCATCGTGTTGAGGAAGCAGAGGAAGTGGATGCGGCAAGGGCGCGAAGCTATGTCGTTTATCGAATAGCATAACGTTCTGTAGTACACAGATTCCACCGCTTGCGGGTTTTTGGGACAGAAGGTCTGTTGTCGAGCCGAGATCCACCAGATAGTCGTGTAAATTCTTGAAGTCAAGGTACAAAGACTTGTACAAGACTTTGGAAAAAGGAGAGCCTCTCGGCGGCGGCCAATACCCATATTTCTCAACATAAAAGCTGTGGAGAAACGACCGAAATCTGTCTAGATGTGCTCTAGCACCATTTGCTAATCCGAGATTTGCAGGCGAGAAGTCATCTTCCAGGAAGGTTCTCAAAGCCGCCGTCACTCGTCCAAGATGAATGTCCATTTCTAGGTACGCTCTCGTAATCAGTGCTTTGGTCAACTTAGAAATGCGCTTCGCGAGCTGTCAGCTATTGCAACCTCTGGGGGAAATGTGATGACGTACATCTAGTTCTTGACTCAAAGCTAGACTCTCATTCATGCCGACACAATGAGTGAAAGCATCGATCCAGAGATCTCGGATCTTGTAGTGTTCGGCATAATAGAGCATGCCCAGTGCGTAGTCTGCACAATCGACAAAGTCACAATAGCCCTGCGCTTCGGCGTACGCAAGGAAATCTTGGCGATTATCTATTTGTCCTGACCGGAAAAGCTGCATTCGTTCTTGCAGATCGACGAAGGACTGACCTAGGTGAGCTCCGACTAGAGGCCTGCCCAGTACAAAGGCAAAGAAGTTGCGCGTCGTTAGGTGCCATTGGAACGCCGCCTCTCGACTTGCGCCGTCTGGCGCTGGCACGAACAATTCGATAGTACTATTCGATGACACTGGGGTATTGAACCCGCTGGAAATACGTTTTGCGGCGTGTGAACTGGGTCCAGAAGGCATGATCTGTGCGAAACAAAGACTGAACATCGCCCCACACTTCAAATGACGCAGGGCGCGAAATGGGATGCGGAAGGATGGACCTCGACGAGACTGCCCCCGAGCATATAGATGAACGTAACAATCGCCATCTTCGAACCACAAATCAGGATCCTAACCGGTCTTTATTAGCTGAGTGGTTCACTCCAAAGCAATTTAGGCTCTTACTCTTCTCAGACCATCCCATTCACGAGTTGTTCGACTAAGGCCTGCCCATCGCTTTACAGTGGGGGCGCGTGTGGAATTCCGCATGGTTGATGAACAGCTTGAGGACCGCTTGGATGTTGCAAGACCGCCCGAAGGCTCTCTTAAGGAAGACCGTCGATGCATTCCAGGAGTCGGGAGATTGTGAATTAGATTTAATGAAGGGGCATGCTGTGTAATAAGGCTATGGCATTTCCTTGTACCTGCAGAGAGGTCTTCCGAATTTGGAGGCCCGACCGAGAGGGTCGCTTGCGCCGGGTCAGATTGGGGAATGGAATTATTCTTTTGGAACAAGTTATTGGGCTGGAACTGCTCGAAAGACGAAGTGCGGCTGGAGCCAGCAGGTCGAGGCTTCTCGGCGGAACTTGACGAGCTGGGGCAGCGCGAGTCTGAGTTGGCCATGACCAAGCTTAATGTAGGAAAGTCGAGGAAAAGTGCAAGACAAAAAGCTGGGGACTCCCTTCTCCGAGGCAGAGATCACGAAGCATAGGTGATACTGGATTTCCACTGCCCCGAGGTCATCTCAGACCAGCATGCGGGCAGTTGCTTGGAACAGTAGTGGGTAGGACGAAGAAGCATTTGTATATACTTTACGCAAGCACGCAAGTATCCAAATGCATGTCTTCCGGGTGCCAGACAACCAAGATGGGGGGGCGGATGCCGCTTTGGCGTGTCCGGGCCAGCTTTGGTGCAGCTAAGTGGCTTACAGCGTTGAGCGATTAGAATGGCCCAGAGCCAAGGGCGAGGACTAATGCACGAGGCTGATCCATGCCAAGCGGCGAACGGGAGAGACTGGATGTCTTCGATGCCTGTATGACAACGGTCGAGATGTTCCATGGCCACAACTCGCGTTCTTTTGGGTCTCGCTGTGCGGTGCTCGTGGGAGTGGGCCAGACGAGTCCGTGGGTGTTCCATTGTTGGGACGTGTAAGTGGTCATCATAGAGTCGTGACTGTTTCCACACAGTAACTACTCTGTCCATGCGACACAGAAGCCAGTCCAGTTCCCTTCACAGTACCTATTCGAGTCTTTAACATGTAACGACAAACGACGGCCCAATTGATGCAGTAAATGGGCAGGAGATTTACTGCACATTTGCCAGTATAGGAAATGGCAAGTTCCGATAGCAAAGCCATACCCCAGTATCTCCGCCGAGTGTGAGTATGGTAGAAGCCCTAACAGCGTGGGCCGATGATCGTGTGGCACAGGTAGTTCACACCAGCCATCCCGGAGATCTAAGTGTCGTCCATGCTTGGATGATCGTCGTAAGGCGCGGGAATGCCACTCGTACACAGTAAGTAAACACCGATCCTATCGACGATGCCTCACATGCTGAAGAGCATTTCGGATTTCGTACTCTTCCTCATGGCCAGTAATGGACATTAGAACATCCAATTGATGGGATAAGACGGAAGCTGTCGCTGCATCGCTGAGTCGATGAGGTGGAGCGTTCGCCGCGTGCCAGCGACGTGGATCAAGGCCGGCATTTCGAAGATGAGTCTGTGAAGCGCGTGAGCGAACCAATCAGTCGCCATCATTCCTCCGTTCCCGAAGTGGGGATCCCGAGATTGACATGCCACGACTTCGCTTCCACGACATGACTATGCCATGTTAGACATCATCGTCTTCCTCTTCTTGAGGATCTTCTTTATTGCCTCTACTCTGTACTGCTTATTAACTTCAATCCTCTCCATGGAGGATCTGTACTGCTCTTGGATTATCTCGGCTCTCCCACGGCTTAGCTACCAAGATGCCTGTCCTGTCGCTGTCTTAGCAGGAAAATGCAACCTGCTGCACATGCAGCTTTGCAACCACAGGGTTAATCGTAGTTTATTGTTGGATGATTATATTTTTTGTATTATGCAGCAACTACTGTCGGAGATGAAACAAGTCAAGATTACTAGATGCTTGATTGGGCGATCTTCCATCCAACTTCTACTGAGTACTGCGAGCCTAATGAACAAAATGCACGTTGAAAATTGAGATGGTCCTGTGTCACTTGCAAAGTAGCACTCTCATTAGCGAAATATGGCAAAGTAGTCTCGTCGTACCAATGGTGAATTCCTTGAGGAATAAAGTATCAAGCTTCTGACGAGGAGGCAGCACAGACTCGTTGTTCCTGTGCATGGCATTGGGTATTACAAGTCAGTCGAAATACAAAGCTTCAACGTCAAGCACACGCGTCCTCGCAGACTCTTGACATAATCTCATAGGTAGCTATAGAGTGTGGATGGCGCGTCCGTCTGCTTGCATTAGTGCAACAGCGATATCTCGTATATCAACGGGATTCATTTTACCCGCATACAACTTCACGTGAAAGATGCCCCGGCGACTCTGAAGAGGCAACCTGAAAAGATGGCTCCTTTATCTTGTTCACGGTCAAATGACTTGATAATGTCTCTCGAGCTTAGTTTATCCGTTCATTCGGAACATGCTATAGTTACTGTGAAGGCAGATTGGATCAAGCGTATCCAGCTCCCAACACCGGTAGGCTACCGGGTGCCATTCGAGAAAGGTTTTAGCACACCGCCATCATCTGAAACATTCATGTTCCACGGGTCATCCCGAGATCTCCGCCTTCATTAATCCAATTCGACTCCTAGTGGCATGCATGCCATCCATACCTCCTTCACCTTAGGGTTTCTTTGTTGAGACTTCATCATGAGAACAATAGTCTGAATGACTCGGGAGTGTCGGCACTTTGATGATAGCTACAAAATCTGTTAAGCTCGGTTTGGATGATCGACATTGCATTCGATTGTACGCGTGAGATAGTCCCGTGGTTCACATGAAGGTATAATGAGGGTGTTCGACAGAGACATCGCCATACAGAGTACTCGTATCCCTATTGCGTTTGTGATATTTGATGTCTCGTCCAAGCATCGTTGACTGGGTCTAAATATTGTCCGGCATTGTTTCTAGTTGTAAGGTAGTTACTATCTTCTATACCAAAAAGAGTGCAACGCTATTCGGCGGTGGGTGCTAGTTGTCACTCAATTCTCACAACAGAAAGGTGGACTTTATATCGTGAACCAGAAATCCTGACAAAAGCCTTGTGTTTTCATCTTAGGATGTTGTAGCATTTGAGAGGTTGCTGAGTAACAACTATTCAGTTCTTTCACCAGGTGAAAGGAAAACGCATCCGTGCTCAAACACGATCACGGGCTTTCACTTTCAGTCTGTCCTCAAATTTGTTCGTTTTGAGCGTGATTTCGATTGCGTGCGTCATATTCACATTCACTCATTGTGCGTACTTGATTGCTGCAGAACCAATCACGATACGGAGTACGGAGTATTAATGAACGTATTTCATGTCCTATCGCAGCTTCCTCCGTCGTACCACCACGCGTTAGCTCCGACGCGACCCCAACTCAACCGTGTAACCAACAACTGTTTTGTCCAATCTCGACACTGGTATGGTTACCGCTGTTGAGTCTGGCACCAAGATGCCCAACAAAACCATCGGAGGTGGCCCCTCTTTGACATGCACCAACGAAATTAGCACGCAGATTGCTCACAAATGTCTCGACGATACGAATACTGATAGTGAGGAAACCGAGCCAGATCTAGCTGATAGACTTGCACACGTGAGTTATAGCTACTGTACGCGTATATTGCATGGAACTGACGCGATCGGCAGGAAATAAAAGTTCAGATCGCGATTGCCGACATCATCAAGCGCATGAAAGATGTCGATGAAGAGGTGGCCGTCCTCCGCCATGATCTCGAAGCCGATATCACAAACGAAAGGATTGTCTGTTGCCTTGCGCCAACGCGTCAGCACTTCCACCGCCTTGGCCTGGCCACATTGGAGCTGGCCAAGGTTGTTGACCAAGTGAAAGTAGACATTCAGGTACGAAACATTGGTATCCGCGATTGGCCCACGCTTCTAATATCAATCATAGTTGCCTCAGACTGTATACCAAGTGACTGGTCCTCTCAGCCAGGCTCTTGCCCTTTCAACATCGATCAGCGCTGCAATTCTGGTTGTTTACCGCACCATTAATATGCAATTCCTGCAAGGAGAGAAGGATATAGATCGCAGGTCTTGTGATAAGGATGGTACGACCCCTCGATCAGATCTATCGGCAGAATTGGGCATCTTGATGGAAACCTGTGACAGGGTGATCGAGGTTGTCCGGCGAGCTGTTGAACTTCTCAAAGGCCTGCACGGAAACGAGGTGAAGGCCTATTTGAGAGACTCAAGCACTACGAAAAGCTACAACGATAACCAATCAAACCGCTTCCGAATACTATGGATCATGTTTGCGTTCCTCGCGTTTATCCTCTTCGCGACAAAACATTACGACAACACGACCAAGATCGCTCAACTTGCAGACAAGCTTGACCATATCTCATCACATGGAGGCGGTGGTGTCGAGATTGAAGATATTGGAGCGCAGCTTCGGGACCTCTCAGCCAGGTCCGATTCACACGGACTTCGGCTCGATAACCTCTGGGAGGCCTGGGAAGCTGCAAACCTTGATGGAAAGTACCGCAACTCACAGGCCCCAGACGCCGCCAAGATGCAGAGCTGCAGTGATTTTGAAAAGAGATTGAATAAATTTCAGCAGGACATGATCCAGCTGGAACTGGAAGTGAAGGAAGCGAGGAGGCATTTCCATCTAGTTGATATACGTCTTATGCGTCAACTGAAACGTTTTGCAGGAAGGGAAGGCTTGGAGCTTGAGAAGTAGGCAGAGACGACTTCCTGCTCTGTCCATTGATAAAATTGTCAAGGTCGAGCTAGGTTGAAGGGATGGCTGCAGCTGAGGAGTTTGCTTCTCTCAGGGCTTGTGGCAAGGGAAATGATTGCATCCATAGAGCATGGTGAATTTCCATGTCACATTCCAAAAGTCACACAGCTTCACAATGCATAAGTTACTGCAAAAGGGAAGTGGCGTATCAAACTGGTTCCTTCCTCTCACCGCCTCCGCATTAGGTCTAGCGTGTCTAACCCGCGCCTCCCAGCCCTATCGACCTACTTGCCCACTGTCACTCTACCCTACGTACGCCAACTACGTAAAGCGTTCGCACACTCTCACTACTGCTCCGCCTCTCACAATTCGTAACCATCCTTTTCGCACAATATCCAAAGCAAACCCGCCGTTGTCCCAAGATCAGATCGAGAGATCACACTGGATTCCGTTTGCATTCCTGTCCATCTGGTCACGTAAGGCGCCTGACACCCCTCCACCAACAACTTCCAGCGACTCGAACCACCAACTACATCATTCGCATACCCCCTGAGATACCTTCTGCAAAAGCTATTGACTCTTCAGCAACTAGCAGTCCCAATGGCTGCCACTGCTCCCTCCCTTCCACGTCTCGAGAGTAGCGAAAGCATTGGATTCAACCCCGACTTCTCTACCCCAACCAACGGTACTACCCCAGCAGATGGCCCAACGTCACCTGTAGATGGAGCTACCCATGTACCATCTACAGCGCCTGCACCTGCATCCGCGCCGGCTCCAGCGATACACGTCCAGCCAAGCGAGAAACAGCAAGAGACACAGGATCCTCAGATCCAACAGAAGGTCAAGGATGTCATGTACTCGGATATTGGGGTCAATACCCTCCTGAACCGATTGAAAGCAAGCATTGCGAGCGCAAGGGTGGGATACTCTACACATAGTGGAAGTGATTTCATTAGGAGCTAACAGACATCAGGACTTTGCAAGTTTTTTAAAGCGTCGTGGTGCCATTGAGGAGGAACAAGCTAATAGCTTGAAGAAGCTCAGTCGCCTGACTCTTGAGAATCTTCACAAAGCCGAGGCTCGCCATGAGAGCTACCAGCAACAGTTCGAACAAGTCATGCACGCGAACGAGCGCATTGCCGACCACGGAACACAATTCGGACTTGCCCTGCACGCCATGCACGAGAATCTGCTTCAACTCTCTAATAAGATGGATCTGAGTCGGAAGGAATTGAAACATCAAGGCTTGGCTGCGGAAAAGAAGGTTCAAGACGCCGAGTCGTTGGCGGAGAAGGCCAAAGCGAAGTATAACCAGCTGGCGGAAGATCTCGACCGAGTCAAGACAGGTGACACAGGTGCTGGGCGTAAATTTGGAATAAAAGGCCCCAAATCTGCGGCACAACATGAGGAGGACCTGCAAAAGAAATTGAAACTGGCGGACGAAGATTACGCTTCGAAAGTACGGATCGCACAAACGAACCGAAGGGAGCTTGAGTCTACTTCCCGTCCACAGTCCGTGACCGCGCTTGTCGAACTCATCAAAGAGCTTGACGCTGCGCTTACCATGGAGATGCAGAAGTTTGGTAAGTGGAGGATTCTGCTCGTGTATACAACCACTAACTCAAGCAGCCTCCTTCAACGAGAAGCTCGTCGTCAACAATGGCCAAGTTGTTAGCCCTCAGGCGCTCAAAGGAAGTACCACGCAGCCTCCTCCAAGTATCAATAACATGGTCTACCAGATCAACAACGATCGCGACTTTAATGACTACATATTGAAGCATGCGGCGAAAATACCTTCTGTACGCTCTGAGTTGCAATACGTAAAACATCCTACTCAGGCGGGAGGTTCCTACCAACAACCCCCAACAGCATCTCCTGCAAACAACGCCAACCGACGAAGCTCTACACAAATACAAAGCCAGCCCCCGCCTGCCTTTTCGGTTCAACCACCTACGCAATCCCCGCAATCTCACCAGACACCTTTCCCAGAGCCCACTCAGCAGCCAGGCTTCCAGAGCTATAACCCCAGTTTCGTACAGCAGCAACAGCAACAGCAGCCATATCAACAACAATCGTCTCAGTCGCAGCCGCCGGCCAAACAAAATCCTTATTCCTCTGATATATCACAGTATCCAGGACAAGCTGCATACTCCCCGGTGGCACAGAATCCATACGGCCAGAATGACTATGCTGGAGGACTGGCCGGACAATCCATGGTCCAGCAATCCAGTGGAGTCATTGGCGGTAGCACTCATAATGTCTCCAATTCTGTCGGCTCAGGAACTGGCGCTCCAGCACACACCTCCGGCCCACCAATCAATCCCATCTTTGGGGTCACACTGGACGAATTGTTCGCCAGAGACGGATCCCCTGTCCCCATGGTTGTGTATCAATGCATCCAGGCAGTTGACTTGTATGGTTTGGAAGTTGAGGGTATCTATCGAATTCCAGGGACAACATCTCACATACAAGAGATGAAGGCTCTGTTCGACCGCGGTAAGTTTGTATCGACCATTCAAGTTAGTGTTCAAGAGCAAAGGCTAATCATACGTGTGACAGATGCGAGCCAAATCGACTTCCGCAACCCCGAAGCATTCCGTCACGATGTAAATAGTGTAGCTGGACTTCTCAAGCAGTTCTTCCGCGAGCTTCCAGACCCACTCTTGACATTGAATTGTAAGTTTCATCATTCTTAAGCTACAAAATCCAGCACGCTGATCATCCTACTAGTCTACGGGAAGTTTATTGATGCGGCCCGTATCGAGGATGAGACCATGCGCCGCGACTCGATGCATGCACTCATTAACGATCTGCCCGATCCCAACTATGCAACCCTTCGAGCGCTCGTACTGCATCTATATCGCGTTCAGGCATCATCCGAAGTCAATCGCATGAGTACAGCCAATCTAGGAATTTGCTGGGCGTAGGTCATCTAATGGTTTGGGTGGTTGATACAGTAGTGCTGACTATCCTTAGTCCTTCGATAATGGGACCTCACAAAGGCAACAATATGGCCGACGCTGGCTTACAGGCACGAGTGATCATCACTATTCTGGACAATGTTCTCCAGATCTTTGATGAAGATTAAGTATCATCGTCCTGTTCATGCTATCTGTGACTTATCTTCCATTTGTAGGGAGACATGGGAACTGCGACCTGCATCTATCAGCTCGCCTGCCCCGTCCATGCCATGTTCAGCGCCTTTGTTTCCATCCTTCGTACCTGTGACGCCTAGCGTTCCGTCGGCTGAATCGACCACGTATGACGATGCGGTCCAGGCTTGGAGAGTTGCGAGTCGGCCTATGTCTGCCGATACTTCATCCCAGGCTCGATTGGTTACTACAACAAGCACTATGCCGCGTTCATATTCTGCTCGTAAATTCAAGCGACGGACCTTTTCCTTGTTTGGTCGACCATTTTAATGCTTGTATTTGTCATTTCCTTATACCCTGCTTCACAGCTTGGCTCTTTACGTGGTGGCTGTGGCCATGCTCATAGTTTGCTGCATCGAAGTATCTAAGCATTCTAATAACCTAGTAGGATGTTACGAAGGGATTTGTTGGAGGGAGCGAGCTATTTCATCGGGTGTGGCCCTGATCTACGTGGCATTCTTGGATGTACGATATACCGGTGTCGAATGAACGTTCAAACTGAACGGGATAATGGAATTCCTGATTTCTTAACTTCGTGTGAAATTGAAGTTAGTATGTCAACATGACTAAGAGTTTTGGGTAGCCAATGTCCAACAGGGAAAAGTTGATCATCAGATCGTCCGAGTTCGCCAAAACGAAACGGACCATCCGCTTCTCACTTGCGGACAACACCTTCCTCGCCTTCAAGTTCGTCTGCAGTGTGTTCCTCCCATATGTGGCTTGCAAGTTCATCAACGCGATTGCAAACCGTATCGTACCTGCGATACCGAGCGCACGTTAGGCATGCGAAACCCACGTTGCCTTTGCCCGCACCATCTTCAACCTGCCTATGCGAAGAGAGGAAGAACGTGTGTGTCAGAAAAAATGTGCTGTATGATGGCGAGGCTTTTGATGAAGATGGACACGAATTTGATGCCAAGGTGGTTGGCAAAGTGATTGACCATGCACGATCTGTGTTCAAAGGCGCGACGTACGTGCAATGTTGGCATGCTCTCTGCGCCATCGAAGAGGTGCAAGGCAGAGCGTGGCGACCCAGGAGTACGGACACGTGAGGACAGAAAAGTTTCAAAGAAGCACGAGAGATGGGTGGGAGTTTAATCGTGGTGCTCGGATGCGATGTTTGTGCCGTGTGCATTGTGGCCATGGTCGCTGACGTGGTATTCGTAGTGTTAGAAGTACTCGTCCCACTGCCCGAAGGAACTGTTTGCGAGAGGTGGTGGTGTTGATGCTGCTGCGGGAGCGATGTTGTTACAGTAGGATGTACGACGGGGAATGCACCAGGTATCTGCAGTAGCGGAGGCGAAGATATCGAATCGCCTAGGCGTACTTCAATCATTCGTGCCGCAAGTTGTGCGAGGATCTTGAGAATGGCTGTATGAGCTGTTTTGGCCGTCCGCTCGAGGAGTGAAGTGTAATATGTCAGAGGGTATCGTGTGTAATTTGATAACAAGGATGATTCTTGAAAGGTCTCTATAATGCTCGATTGCATCGTTATGATTTGGATCTGTAGGAATCCCATTATTGGAATGCTGGAACTTTTAAGTGGGAGGCGAGGAGGGATCCTCTGGACATGACATGTACGAGTAATAGTTATGATGGCTGCTGCAAATGCGCGTGATGAGGACAGGAATTACCTTAAAGAGATAGTGGTGGTGGCGTGTGGGGTCGACGCTTCCCGTTCCATACGCAGTGGACCCTCCTTATTGGTTACTAAGCACAAGAACCTCACCTAATCGACCTTAACAGTAATGGGAATTGGATTAAACCTGATGATTTCTTACTCTCAAGTTGCTAGAACAGGTTTTATGATTACTGCCAAAGTTTTGTTCTCGTTAGTTTCTGATTTGTATCTTGACGAGCCTGTCAACGTCACGCGAGGCGATTCGTTGACAAGTTCTCCTGATTCAGAACAGGGAAGCTATCATTTGATCGTCTTTACCAACTCAAACCTAATAATGTTCAGCATATATTTTCAACATATTTCTTTCGTCTGTAATGGGCTTTGCTCTTGCCTTATCCTTGCGTTCAGTTTGGGTGGCGCCCACTACGGCGTTTGGCTTTGTTGTACCCGCTTCATCAAACAAAGATTTCTACCATGTCTTGATGCCCCTATATCGCTACGCCTCATCCGACACCCAGACATCTAGCTTCGTCCATATACAGCCTATGTCTTGCCGGTACTATTGGAAAAGGCTGGCCTCTGTCGAATTCTAGAGCTATGCGCGTTGACAGAGGCAATCCAGCAGAGATCCTTGCTCAAGTGGATGGCTTGGATAGAAAACTGAGCTTACACTGCACAAATACCATCTATGCACGCCGTCTTCTCTGACATCCATCGATACAAAGGCAGTTGGTCAAAGTTAGATATCTTGGCCACGGCTTGGTTTAGTGCCCTGGGTTGACACCGAGAGGAAGGATATTTCCACGCTCCTTTGTTAGGTCCACCTGCTAATCTAGACCTATTCTTAGATGCCCATAGTTATGTTAATATGATCACACATCAGCACAAAAGCCTGTTCCAACCCCCTGTCTGATTGTCAACTCTCATCGTATATCCTCCTATCTTTGAATTGTAACTGTACTTAAATTTGTTAACAAACTGTTCCACTGCAGACTCAACTTTGAATCGAAATCTTTACAGTGTAAGTACCTCAGTCGCTATTCCCACTGCAATTCGACTTGTCCCGAACTGATAATGCATCATAAAAGAGGGAACCTCCTTAGAAGGTTGACTGCTCCCACCATACGACTTCGGCCGATACCACTCTCCTTAGAGTGTATTAACCTTGAATTTCCTATTGTTTTATCTGGCCGTGAAGCGGCTTTCGAATGCAATACGGATGAACATTATCGGTTAGACGCGACGTCGGACGACAGTCAGTTCACGATAACTGATCTTAAGAAAACGCATATACCTTCCTAACGACGTCGATAATATATATATTAACCTCCTTCCCACTGAGGTGACCTTTGGACAAGGCATCTATAGGGTATGATCTACTAACTCTCTGACGGAGTATTCACCAAAGATACATTATTAGAGCCACGCCTCTTTTGCAGTCACTATCAGACGAGACCAAGAATTGAAAACTGCGCCAACAATCAAAAGTTACATTCTGTGACAGCTAAACATCAAGCTCCGTACTCAACGGGATCAGATCAACAATCTCCGGAATCCAAATATAGATGATGGGGAGGACTTGATCCTCGAAAATTGTGACCCAACTGGCCAATTGCACAGACGCAACACCGTCGATATACCCCCATCTATCGTGGAAAAACCACCAGTTGGAGCTTGTTCGCGACTCCCTTTTAACTCCCAGATTTTTGTTCTGTGGAAAACCTTGGTCTCTGCCAGCCAGGCTGATCGGTTCGAACAGCAATCACAACACGAGCACTCTGTCGGTAACCGCTGGAATACCGCGGTACTGTCTGGCTCTATTTCACCTATTTCCCACTGCCTCAAGATTGGACATTATATACGTTATCTCTCTTGCGGATGAGCAAATCTCTTTCTAGCTAAAACTCCCAACCCCTTAGTGGATCTCTTCAGACTGAAGAGCAAGGTGAAGGCACTGTTTGCGCAGTGGCGACACATCTTGACACAACTAGCCACCTCTTTTGCAGTTCAATCTTCACTCCCGCACTTTCAGTGTCTAAAGTAAAACTCAGGCACGGATCTTGCCGACGAAAATTAACATGTTTTATGTATAGTTTCCCCTCTTCGGATTATACATCTCACCAATCTGTTGCTTTAGATACCAGGCAACTCACGCCTCGCCAGACGAAAGGCAGTCGCTTAAGCTAAAGCAACAACATCAACAACAACAACACCACCACCACCACCACCCCGCCGCCGCTACTACAAAACATCATAATTTACTTTGCTTTTAATATACATGCTCTTGTTCTCTTTTTACTTTTATATAATGAAACAAGTGCCCTGTTACACACCGCCAATCCCGTCGCTTTTCATAGGCAGGTAAGTCGGTCACTGGACCCGCCACCGCTCACCTTCACTTCGTTACTCTCGTCCTCCTCCTCTCACTTCCGTTTCTCTCTCTGCTCAAGTGAGAATTTCCCAGGTTGCTAACTAGCCTCCCAGCCACCCTGCCTACTGGAAGGTATTTGAGGCCGCCTCCGCTCGCCTTCAACCTTCTCCCCAACACCAACTTTTTCCCTTACACCTACGTTTGTCCCAACACCAACCTACACCGAAGACCCAATACCTTCTACTTCAACTTCTTTCAGCTATCTCAGCGTTATCGAGATCATCTCTGCTTTCAACACCCGAACAAACTTCATCATCGACACAACCATGTCTTCCATGATGCAGTCTGCTTCTCGCGAGCCTACTTTTGATGAGATCGAGCAGTTCCTGAAAACTCGCACCCAAGCCCAGATCATGCAGCTGGTTCAGAACTTCGATGACCCAGTGCAGCGTGCCCATTTCGTATCGACATTTCTCAATGCGCCCCGGATCAATGTCAAGTCAAAGGCTTCTTCAAAGCATGCCAAGGAGTCAGAGGCCATCAAGGCTAAGAAAGCTCTCAATGCCTTCGTCGCTTTCAGATGTAAGTTTACAGCAATTCTTTATATGTCTGCATGGTGTTTACATTTTATAGGCTTTTACATTCACTGCCTTGGCTTTAAGCCCTGGCCCATGAAGAAGCTGTCCAACTCGCTGGGCAAGATGTGGGAATTAGACCTGAACAAGCCTCTCTGGTCGATGATGGCAAAGGCCTGGTCCCTCATTCGTGACCAGATCGGCAAGGACAATGCATCGCTTACCGAGTTTCTGAACATTGTTTGCCCCTACCTGAACATCCCTCCATGCAAGGACTATCTCGATCTCTTCCAGTGGGAGGTCAATATCTCGGATGAGGGACTCCCAGTCGTTCGACGCGACCCAGAGGCTCCAATTCAGAAAGACAGGGCTTCTGGCACCGCACCTAAGACCTTGTCCGTCAAAGATATCATTGAGCACTGCCAGATGTCGGGTTATGCTCTGAACTTCGTTTACGATACCAGTGCTACCTCAGCTTTCCAGGTCCAGATTGGCTCTGTTCTTAATTCGTCAACTGGTGCTGCCGACTCCGTATTCCAGGACCGCGTGGTGGCTCGAAACAAACGCCGCACTAGGCGTCAGTCGGTCAATAAGGCACTGGTTGTTCCGGACATGCGAGGTCAGGTCGATACCATGCATGATTTTGAGACTTCAGAGGGCGAGTTTCCCTCTCTCTTGCCTTTCATGCCACTGGGTCCTGGACTGAGCATGCCATTGATGTTCCAGAATGATCAAGCCGCACCTATGGCCAATAATCAGGAGGACTTCGACTTCAACATGCCTGTTCACAGCTTCGCGCCTATTGCTGCCCCTCCCCAACCAACTATGATGGAGACCGAAAACTTGTCTCAGGAGGTTGTCGACTATTCGAACATGTCTGAACACGATGCTATCTATTACCGCATGAGAGAGATGGCAATTGAACAACAAATGAACTTCAATTCTTTTCAGGATCACAGTGTTGGTGACTCTTCCACCAACACCTTGTCTGATAGCGCCGATCTTGGAACCGAAAACTTCAATCAAGCTGTTGCGGGTCCATCCTCATATGTCGACAACATGGTGGCACCATCCGCTGGAATGGGCAGCCAGAATGCGACCAACTCGTCAGCTTTTCGTCCTGGAGCGAGTGGAAATTCGACACTCCCCCCCATCGATCTCTCGATTTATTGACTGCTCTTGTCAATTCCATCTGACTATTGGCCATGAGTTTACGCACCGTGGCTACGTGAATATTTTGCCTTCCTTCTTCACGAACGAACTCATCGCCCCTAATACTCCCACGGAAACCGCCTCAATGCTGAACATCTTAGATGTCCCCAATTTCCCACCTTTGCGCACACATCCATGGCTTTCTTCTTTTTTTAGACGAGGTCCTCAGTTCTTGGTCTTCCTTCCCTGCACAAGCCCCCATTTTCTCGGAACCCACCCCCATCGATGGTTTCTTTTCTCATACACGGACGGTTTCCTTTATTCTCTTATCCACTAATGGGCAACTTTCTTTTCTTCATACACGAATGGGTTCTTTTCCTCATGCAAACGCGACAACGACATCGAAATTATATGACGGGCTTCTTTCGGATCATCTGGTTCTCACGCGGCACCGTACAGCAAGGTCTCTCTTTCACGAGAGAAGGCTCATGCTCAGGACCAAGTTTGCAACCAGATGCCTTCTCCTTATAGGCGCCTTATACCCCCTCGGATTATCAGCACAGCACAATTGGTAGGAACTTCATACGGATTAATCGGATGGCGTATTCAGATGGAACATTCGGCCTGGATATGGAGCTCATGGCTTCTTTAGGACATATTGGTGGTGGTCACTTCACTGGTCACGGTATGCTACTTCCGTGGACGCGTCAAGGATCTCTAGTCCTGGCAGGTGAATTTGGTTCCTTTCCATAGTCCTTTCTACAGTAGCTAGTTCCCATACCTTGGTTGGACTGACTCTGCGCATCATGACAGAGCACCACTAAGATCAATAGATAGACAAATCACAAAAAAAAGTTTAAAATTCCCATGGTTTCTGTTAAACGTGATGTTTCTCTTTGATGATTTTCACTTCACATGAAGAATTTATCTGCATGCCAATTACTAGACACCACACCACGTCACAGTTTAAGGTGACTTCTTGGTTCGATTACTTTTATATTAGGCACGGCAAATACTGCAGTATAGTAGAAGCATATAAGAGTAGGAGCAGACCCATCACGATGTCCTCAAATTCCATTCGCAAGCGGCGCGCGACCTTCTCCCCGAACCTCCCAATCCCTAACCTAGCCCTTCTAATCCGCGATCCTGCCATCCTGGATCTTTACGACCACGACTCTGACCTCTTCGCCCTCGACGTAACACTTCCCGCCGTCGCCTTCTCTCGTCTCGTCGTCCTCGCCTTCCCTGCCGAGACCACCCCAAAGCCCGCCGCCGACTCCGACCGGGCTAGAGGAGTAATCGTCCTCGCTGGGCCCGAACGTATTGTTCGCCAGATGCTGCGCCTTGTACCACGCCTCCCTCTCGCTACCGGGCTCCACGATCTCGGCAGTACCATTGATCGTGGTGCTGATCCTCGAGAGGCTCGCCGTATTCATACCCAGTAGCAGCTCAGCCAGACTTCCGGATCTGGGACCGCCGCCGGGGCGCGTGGGGGAGGGTGAGCGGCCTTGGGAGGATAACGTCGGCGGGCGATGAGACACCCAGTCGTGGACGAGGAGGGAGACCAAGGGGTTGTCGGTCAAGTTCAGGGTCTTTCGGGACGAAGGGGGTGTGGTCATGATTATAATGGGGTGAGTAGAATAAGGTGTCGATGGTAGGTAGGTGTAGTTCATGAGGGAGATGTGTGGGATGTTGTTTGCGCATGTCGAGAGATGGAGCTGCCGTGCTGTTAGTAGATTGACAGCGCGTAAAAGATGAATTGACCAGAAAGCTTCAATTGATGTGTCTAAGTGGTGTGGGAGTCGCGATAGAAAACGCGTGGATGAGCCCGAGGGCAGCGCAGACTGCACCGGAAAGACCTTTTAGGGCAACTGCGTGCCAGAATATGAACGCAAGAATTGGAGGGTAACTATATTTTCCTTGTACTTACGAAGCGTGCGTTCTGGAGACAGGTGATAACTTCATCCGGGAGGCATGCGGGTGGTGACGTAGCTGAAGATGCGGCGGGGATGCCTGTAGTCGCCATGTTTGGATATTAGGTGCGTGGATATGAGGTGCTTGTTCGAGGATGAACAGGTGGCAGCTGGTGGGGGATATGAAAAAGGGTCAGTGGTCAAACATTGATATCAGTATTGTCAGATGTACGAGGTAGCACGAGTATGAGCAGTGGACGTGATGCATGAGTTGGTGCAAACGTATCAAACTGGGTTTAGCATCCACTCAAACGTCGGCCGACCCTCTCTCCTCTCTCCGTCTCTCCTTACTTGCTCACTGTCACTCTACCCTACTCGTACGTGCCCTACCTACGCCAACTCTATGAGAGAATGTGCACTGACCTGTCCAACCCGCACAAGCACCCCCCCTTGCATCTCCCGGTAGTAAGCTAACTACCTAGGTACTTAGGCTGCTAGGGTATCACGGTACCTGGGTATCTAGCGTGCCTAGTTATGAGTATATCTAACTGTATAACGAGTAACTATCAATGATGCATCAAGACCACCGTGTTTCCATCAAAATATCTCAATTTGTCCGTAGCCATGACCTCGACTGAATCAACCCCGGTATCGCTGCCGCGTGTCGCCATCACATTTTGCACTCAGTGCCGTTGGATGCTAAGAGCGGCTTATGTAAGATGCATTCACTGGAGACCTTCGGAACATTGCCCCTCATGATCACTTACACTTACCTCTGTGTTAGTTTGGCCAAGAGCTTCTTTCGACTTTCGGTACCCAGATTGGAGAAATTGCCCTGATACCTGCAACGGGCGGGCTTTTCACGGTTGAGCTAGTATGATCATGTGTAGTAGCTGGGGTGTAGGGTGATTGATACTGACCCTCCAGACATATGCCCCGCCTATCGAAAACGAGGACAGCGAAGAACGAATCCGGAAAGTACTAATATGGGATAGAAAAGTGGAGGGTGGATTTCCAGGTCGAGTTACCCCTAATGAATAGCAATCCAATACTTGGTAACTAATGTTACACAGAAACGAAAGTCCTGAAACAGCTCGTCAGGGACCGCATCGATCCGAAGAAGGACTTGGGCCATTCTGACCGGGGTGGGAAGAGGAAGGAGGAACCAGAGGAGAAGAAAGATGGGGCAGACTCTGCGACGAAGGCAACCAAAGATCCTAGTACTGTGTCGAAAGAATCTTCAGACGGCACAGTCTGTGAAGATTGCCGGTAAGGCCATTGCTTTTATTGCATATATACGGTTATCTCATTCTATAGACACAATCTCACAACACTCTCACGATGATCTCTTAACACTCTCTTATAATACTCTCTTACTTACAACACACTCTTACAACACACACTCTTACAACACACACTCTCACAACACATACACACTCTTTCTCATAATACACACACACACACACTCTTTCTCACAACACTCACACTTTCTTTCTCACAACACTCACACTTACAACACTCACACTTACTCACAACACACATACTCTCTCTTACAACACTCTCTTACAACACACACACACTCTCTCTCTTACAACACTCTCTCGCAACACTCTCTTGCAACATTCTCGCAACAATCTCTCGCAACATTCTCATAACACTCTCTTACAACACACACTCTCTCTTACAACACACACTCTCTCTTACAACACACACTCTCTCTTACAACACACGTTGTGGTGGACTGAGACATGGCATTGGACAAAACCTCAGCCGAAATTTGAGTCAGATTTTGGTATTTTTCAACCACCTATAATACCACGAATAGAGGTCTTAGGGAATAAAGAAATACGTCAAACTACAGGGGGCGTATAGTAATATATCATGACAGGCTTATTACAGTATATAGACCTCTCTCTGTTATACAGTAGAAGGGTATAAAAGTAATTTTTAGGGGGGGTA